GAAGTCCTTAGTCTATGCGCCGAATCATCTGACTCTAGATCTGGGAAGAGTTCGAAGGCTTCGAAGAAGCTGATTTGCCTCCTGAAATTGTTGTAACGCCTGCTGTTGGCGCAGAAATTGAGGTGCAAGACTCTCCTGTCAAACGAAAGAAAAGTCTAGGGCTCGTGTCCCAAGAAATTAAATCAGTTGTGACTAAAAAGTCTACTGCCAAGTCTAAGACTAAGTCTCAGAAAAGTAAGAAAAAGAAGAGTGACATTAATTTGGAAGATTTATCTCCTCATGATATTGGTATTTTGAAAACAAAATTAGGTTTGAACAATAAGGAAAAACTCGCAGAGTTTTCGAAATAGACCAAATTTACGGGTAGAGGTGAACCTGATGATATTTCTTTAGCTGATTCAGATGACTGTTTTACTGGGAATTTTCCCAATGAAGAAGATAGAAGAGACCTTGAAAAGGCTTTGTTTGGTGATGATGATGAAAATTCAGAGAATGATGATGAGTGGGATTTACCCCAGATCTTGGTTTCCGAGAAAGGTCCAAGTATTGACAAGAATTTGGCAAAAACTAGTTAATTCCTCTTGCACTTACTCAGTCAAGTGTCTGATATTTTGCACAAGTATGACTGTGCCAGAAAATTGTGATTTCTTGGCTCCACCATCTGTAAACCTTGATGTTTGGAAAGTTTTAGGCAAGAAGGGTCAGAGTCAGGATCGTTGTTTGGTAGATATCCAAAATATAGTTGCGGCTGAGAATGGTTGCAGTTGTTAAATTGGCTTCTGTGCTCAAGCATCATATTAAAAGCAATGTTGAAGCAAAAAGTATCTTAACTGATTTGATTTCTTTAACTGGTCAAGTTCAGTTTAATCTGTCTTTTTAGACGTAGATACCAATGTAGGCCTTTTCTGAATAAGAAATATACCAATCTTTTGTAAATATTAATGTACCATTACCACAAAATTATTTGGTGATGACCTTGCAAAAGAGGTTAAAAATTGTGATGTTGGTTCTCTTTAGCAAAAGAAAAATATGGTACATCTTATTATGGTCCCCAGAGATCCTTTCGGGGTCGAGGTGTCAATTACAGGGGAAGAAGACCAAACAGGTTCAGCCTTATGGTCAGCAATATGGCAGGCAACAGTATAAGCCAGCAGCAGTATGGGCAGCAAAACCCTCTTTTTGAGACGGGGAAGAGCTAGGGCTTCAGCAACAGTTTCAAGTGCCCCAAACTAAACAGACTGGACACCTCTCATGTAGGTAAGCTTAAACTTTGTTTGGATGTTTGGAAACAGTTTACTCATGATGCGTGGATTCTTCAAACAGTAACTGGTTATTGTATTGAATTTGAGTCAGTCCCCTTTCAGAATGTTGTTCCTAAACAAATTCATTTAATGAGGAAGAACATAATGTTGTTGATTTGGAAGTGCAGGACCTTTTGAGGAAAGGTGCCATTGAAAGGTCTGTACCAGAACCTGGACAATATATTTCTACCATATTTACGGTATCCAAACCTGGTGGGAAGTTTAGACCCATTATTAATTGAAACATTTGAATAAATTTATCGTTTACGAACATTTTAAACAAGAACATTTTAATTTGGTGTTAGATTTGGTTCAAAAGTTTGATTATTTTTGTAAAATTGATTTAACTGACGCATATTTTGCTATTCCTGTCCACAAAGATTTTCGTAAGTTTTTGAAGTTTATGTGGAACGGAGTTCTGTACGAATTTGTTTGCTTGTGTTTTGGTTTGTCATCAGCTCCTAGAGTTTTTACCAAAGATTTTAAAGCCAATTTATGCTTGGTTTTAGGTATCAGGGTATAAGATGTTCATATTATATAGATGACTCTTTAAGCATGAACAGAGATAAAGAAATTTGTAGGAATGATACAGTTTTAATGTGTGACACTTTATCTTCTTTGGGTTATACAGTGAATAAAAAGAAATCTGTTCTTGTCCCCCACACAGAGGTTGATATTTTTTGGTTTTGTTTTGGACTCCGTTTTATTTATGGTTTTCCTGACAGATGAGAAAGTTCAAAAAATAGTTTCTTCGGCTTCTAATCTTCTACAGAAGGAGGTTGTTGTTGTCCGAGATCTGGCCTCTTTTATAGGGTTAGTGATCAATGCATTTTATGCAGTTCTCGAAGCCCCATTGCATTATAGAAGCTTAGAAAGAAATAAATTGATAGGTCTTGGTTTCTAACATGAATTTTGATAATAAGGTTGTCCTCAGTAAGGATAGTCGAGAGGAGTTGTTGTGGTGGAAAAATAATGTCACCATCAAAATTGGAAAACATATAAGGCCTGGACCAGTTGAATACTGGTTTATTGTGATGCTTCGTTTTGTTGGGTGGGGCTCGTATGATGAAGAACTTAATAAATCTGCTAATGGAAGATGGAATTCTTCTTTGTTTTGATAAATCTATAAAATTATCTGGAATTATTAGCTATTTTCAATGCAGTCCGAGCTTTGTATAATGAGGTGCGGGATACCCATATAGAGATAAAGTCAGACAATGTTTCGGCTATAGCTTATGTAAATGACCTAGGTGGAATGACTTCCTTATCAATGGATTTGTTGGCCAAAGACCTTTGGGAATGGTGCTTGTCTAGGGATATTTTTCTTTCTGCATCCTATATTCCTGGTGTAGATAATGTGTATGCTGATTATTTTTCAAGGAATTTCTCGGAGAGTACTGAATGGTCTTTGAAACCAGACATTTTTGAAAGAATTTGTGGAACTTTATTCAAACCTGATATAGACCTTTTTGCCTCTGAATGGAATAAGAAGTTAGATAGATATGTCTCATGGTTTTTCAGGAAGCACTGAAAGTGCTTATGATTCTTTTACAATGTCATGGTCTGGTTTTACTCCATATTTATTTCCTCCATTTAATTTGGTTGGGAAAGTAATGAACAAAGTTTTATCAGACAAGGTAAATAAGGCCATTCTTGTGTTTCCTTTTTGGAAATCAGCTACTTGGTTTCCATTGGTATTATATAATATTATTTCTTTTCAATCAGGCTACCTCGCCACAGAGACTTGTTATCTCAGGACACAACGGGAAAACACATCCTCTACAGAATTCTTTAACAATGGTCGCTGTCGTTATATCTGGGAAGCATTACAAAGTCAGGGAGTTTCAAGATCAACTGCATGTGTCATTACTGAAGCATGGAAGAAAGGAACCATCAAACAGTATGAATTCGCTTGGCGTAGCTGGTATTTTGGTGTTATAAACAAAGTAAAAGTCCCTTTTCAGCGTCTGAAGGTACTGTAGTGAATTATTTGTGTCATTTATTGTGTCTAGGTAAATCATATTCAGTGTTGAATACACACAAATCTATGCTTCTACAAACTTTACCTTTTTTCAACAATAGTTGGTGTGATAAGCCTTTCCTTATTAGTAAATTTATGAAGGGTGTTTTTCACCGAACCCCACCTAAACCTAGGTATTCTTTCACATGGGATGTTTCAGTGGTATTAAATTTCTTAAGAACTTTGTTTCCTTTGTCTAGTCTTAGTTTAAAGCTTTTAACATTTAAACTTACAGCTTTGATTGCGCTTTGTACTGCTCCAAGAGCACAAACTTTAGTTGCGCTGAACATTGATTTTATGGTGTTTCATGACAATAAAGTTGTTTTCCATATTTCGTCCTTGTTGAAGACAAGCAGGGTAGGACATAGTGCTTTCTCTTTAGTTTTGGAGAAGTATGATCCTGATGAGAAACTGTGTGTTGTGAAAACTTTGTTACATTATTTGAAAAGAACAGAGAGTTTACGGGAAAGTAAACAACTTTTAGTTTCTTTTGTGACATACAAAGGTGTTACTTCTAGTACTGTGGCTAGATGGTTGAGAGAAGTTTTATCCCCTCTCGGGTATTAATACAGATGTGTTTAAGGCACATTCTTTTAGGTCTGCAGCAGTTTCAGCAGCCTATACTAAGGGTGTTCAGTCAGTAATATCTTAAAACAGCTATGTGGAATACAGAGAAGAATTTTTATAAATTTTATTTCAGAAATTCTGTTCCTGATAATGCCGGGGTTGCTTTCCCCAGGGCAGTGTTATCTAATGTTTAGTTATTAGTTTTTGTGTGGGAATATATATTGGTTTGTTTATATCAGGCTTTGTTTTGTTTCATGCCTTTAAAAATGCTATTTGTATACATGTGCAAGGCCGAAGGCCTTACGAAAAATAATGTTCCCTCATCCAAGCTTTAGTGATGGATGAGGGCCATTATTCTAGTAAGGCCGGAGGCCTAAGCATGTATGCATTACCCACCTCATTGTTTTTCTTTATTTCTTTCCCCTCCTCTTGTAAAGGGTTTTATGCTGAAACAAAACTTCTTTAAAATATGATTATCAAACGCTCGAGTGATCATGATGTGTGTGACGTAGTACGACTAGTTTATTTTGCGTTTTTATCTTTGAAATGCGGTACCTATCTCGCGAACCTCGATAAACATGCTATTTGTATACATGCTTAGGCCTCCGGCCTTACTAGAATAATGGCCCTCATCCATCACTAAAGCTTGGATGAGGGAACATTTTTTGGAGTTACCCAAAACACAAACTGGTCTGAGAATGGACAGCGGAACGAATGGACAAGGCCAAATCTACAGATATCTACAACAAAAAAAGTGGTCACTGGCATGGGCATTAAAAACCTATTGTGAAATTAAGATAAACATAACCAGTCCTATTGTAAAACTAAAAATAAACTTAACTAAGAAAGAACTTGAATGAGTCTTTCATGTATACATGTATGCACTCAACCAGTCACTTTCTGGGTTTTTTTATCTCATTTTTCTGGGTTTTTCCTTTTTTTTTCGTTTTTTTTTCTTTGTTGTATTTTTTTTTGGAGATGGGGGCGATTGGAGAAGCTTTTCTGGCCATGTGAATAAAGCACAATGGTACAATGGCTTAAAATTTATCAAAAAGTACCGACATGTATTAGTAGTTAGTATTACTCTTTTATATGATAAATATACCACTTACAAGGACTCCTTTAACCCAGCCAAACTTGACGGCTGATTTGTTATCTTTAGGTTTTACTTCCTCGGGGTTGGTGTCCGTCTCCGACAGGAGCGGTTCCCGATGACGCTGCCGGTCTATATCATCCTAAAAATAAACAAAAAAGTTAAACTTCCTTCACATTGAATTGATCAACCCTTTGGCTTTTATCTGCTACATGTCTGTAATGTATTTGCCCTGGCTTGAATTTGAAAGTTTAAGAAATTTCAATACAATCAAAATTAAAGGGCTAGTCATTGAACCTTGTAAGACTTTGGATTTGGGGGTTGGCCTGGGTCATATTGGCAAAGGGCCATTGCTCAACAGTTTTAAAATTAAATTTTCACATAAAAAAATGTCAAAACTTGTCTATCACCATGGATGTGTTATAGACTAATTTCCTGTTTAAATGTTTAGATTTTCAGCAATCCACTCATTATTTAAATGGTTTGGAGAGGTCAACATCCTGAAATTGAGCAGCCATTGGTATTACCAGTACACAGTCTACACAGTACAGCAGGCATGAACATTAAATTTGAGCTGCGCCATGACAAAACCAACATAGTGAGTTTGCGACAAGCATGGATCCAGATCAGCCTGTGCATCAATGCAGTCAGGTCAGGAATCCATGCTGTTAGCTTACAAACCCTATAACAAGTAGAGAAACTGATAGCGAACATCATGGATCCTGATCAGGCAGGTCTGGATCCATGCTGGTCGCAAACGCACGATGTTGGTTTTGTCATGGCACGGCTCAATTTTGTAAATGACATGGACTCGGACACTCTCGTGGATAATGGATATTTGTGAATGCCATAGACAAACATGATACATGCACATGAAAAAAGTAATTTCTGAATCTGACTGTCAAAATCATTTCTAAATATCACAGATTTTTGACATTTTTGGAAATTTCCCAATTTCTGAGTGCCGAATATTTTTGAAGTTTATTGATTTTTTAAAAAAATTTTTTAAATTCTAAAAATATTTAATGTAAGATCTTTTTAAAATCATGACATTTGAAACAAAGGGCATTTTTACATTACCGGTCAAGAATTAAAACTTTGCCATGGTAATGTTGTATCAAAAAAATTTTGGTAGAGAAAATACTTTAATTTAATTTTTAAAAATTCATTCATTTCAGTTAAAAATTTTGAAACGAAATCAACCCTCATGTCAAAAAAAACTATAGTCCTACCAGCTGGTCTTTAATAAGCTACCACTTTTTCTATACAGCTTAGCTTTCAATTTAACCAATTTAACTTCACTGACAGAAACAATTAACTTACTATGTGTGTAATAATTTATATTGTAAATAATATATTGATAAACTTTTTTTGTTATACTAATGAATTAATAAATATTCTAGAGTAATACTATATTGGTACTTCAAAATGTGATATATTATGGTTACAGGCACATGAGAAAACTATTTATAGTATATTAATGGAACCATTATAGACACATATGTTACTAAAAAGCAATAAATCATAAATTTACATTATAAGGTTCAGTAATTTTTTTATTTTTCCTATAAATTTTGTATAAAATTCTTGGGTCATATATAGACCACTGCAAAAGCGAACTTAATTTACAGTCTCAAATTGAGGTATGTTTATATTATTAAGGTAAATGAAATTTAATATGTTTCTTTAAAACTTCAATTTGATATGAGCCGCGTCATGACAAAACCAACATAATGGGTTTGCGACAAGCATGGATGCAGACCAGCCTGCGCATCCGCGAAGTCTGATCAGGATCCATGCTGTTCGATTACAAACCCTATAACAAGTAGAGAAACTGATAGCGAACAGCATGGATCCTGATTAGACTGCGCGGATGCGCAGGCTGGTCTGGATCCATGCTGTTCGCAAACCCATTATGTTGGTTTTGTCATGACGCGGCTCATATTTCACTGATGATTTGCCCTTTCCTTGCTGGAACCAAAAGCCTTTGTCACCAGTATAGAGCTCGGCTGTGCCCAGCACTGCCCACACAGCCCAGCACTGCCCATCCATGCACCAGCAGTCTGACCAGGCCCTGTTGGCTAACCAACTTTAAAGTTTTAACTTGATTTCCAAAATATTTATAATGGAAAGTTTGATAAACAGATACTTAAGTTAAAATAAAGTCCAATTAAGAAATTTTGCAGGTTATGAATGGGTTAATGTACATGTATGTTAAGCAAAATTCTAGATAAAACTTTTCAATCAATTTAACATCTATATAGATGGTCACACTCTATAGAACTCTAGCCATTAAGATTGTGGAATGATAATCTAGATATGTTAACAGCTTTCAATGATTGTCCTCAATCTGGACCTGTCTGAAATCTGGTTCAGTACAGTCAAACCTGTGATAATGACCATCCAAATTACAGACTGCTTTCGCTAATTCATTGATTAATAACGACAATTGCTGATCACTAAATTGTAACTCGGATAGTATTGGTTCAACTATACAAGTTCTTCTATCTATCTATCTGCTACTATTGTCCACTTGTAGATCTAATGTCCACTTGTGATTGAGAGTGAACTACTGTATGTCTTAAATTGAATCTGGTTTGTTTTTTACATCAAAAAATAAAGACACATGTATGTAATTATTATGGATTCATCAGTGTCTGAGATACAGTCATCATCTTTTTAATATTTGAACAAAAATTACTAACTAAATTATCATCAAATGACCTTAACACGTGCACTGATTGACCTACCTTTTCCTCGTGTAATTCCGCTAAGGTTGGTCGAGACTTCAGAGGTGATGTGGCCGACAATAAATTCCTATAGTGGTCGACATGAGGTATGGCCTCTGTCGTGTTTCTACCGAATGTTTTTAAATGTGTTCCATATGCCGTGTAACTATTTTGATTATGTCCGTAAGTGTCATTAGGTAATGAAAAAGTTGTTGATGTCGCATCTTCAGCATCCCCCGCTACAGAACCATTTCCGACAGCAGTTTCCTGAATATTTTCTTCCTCACCTTCGTCATTTTCGTTCGCAAATTCAACTTTCGCCACCTGAAATCGGTGAGTTGAAGGAACTTTCTTCATTTCTTCAAGTGTCAAATTCATCTGTTATGGCTGATTCACACACTACACGTTTTGTCGGCTTTCCTCCATTATTTGTATGTAAACATTAAATACAAAATGCGCGCGCAGGGCTTTTCATTGATTTACCCGGGAAAACTGCGCATAACTAAAACAGTCATGAACTTCTGCGGTTGTATGATACTAAATAATCATTTTATCTCTGAATATCACCGTCAATTTAGATTCAGTTTTGCATATAAACTTTCATGCAATGTGAAAACATGCGAAAAAAATTGATAGAATGATCAGTAAAAGTTGTTTGTTTTTTTTCACGTTGACAAAGCTTTTAAAATGTCAAGGGAAGACCAGTTACTAAAGAGAACAGGTGTTGGCCGCCTGAAACTAGATCTAGTTACCGGTCGGGGGACACTAAAAAAACTACAATGATGCATTACATTGAAAGGATCAGAACTTTGAACAACGCTTTATTCGGAGTCAAAATTTAAATTTTAGATTTAACTTTTGTGATCGTTAAATATTTTTGGTGACGTTATGAAAGATTTTTGTGTGTGTTCTTTTGTTGTTGTTTTGTTTGTTGTTGTTTTGTTTTTCTTCGCTGGATATACAGTTATTAATTCTTAACACTTAGTACTTATATAGATACTATACATATGAAACTCAAATTTAAATAAAGGCACATTAATGCATACATTATTTCTCAGAAATGTATACAGTATATCTGTATTTTTGTTTAGAAAAGACAAACATTTGCAATCTGTTGTAATATTAATGAACTTGGAGAATTTTATAAAAATCATATGCAGTGACGAAACAGGCGCAAGACACACTATATCATTATACTGTATACATACGCTTATATACTATATATATATTTAAAGAATATTCTTTATAATTATATAGTATATATGTGTATACATGTTTGTTATATACTAAATTAAATATAAATGAAAAATTGAGAAATATATTGATGAAATAAAATGCGTATTTTCATTTTCCGTATTTTCACTGTAAAATTTATTTTCCACCGCTGTGAAACATATTTTTTTGTATTTTCGCTGATGTCTTGCCGAGAAAAAATAGAAACAAAAAATTCAAGTTTTTTTTTTCTGCTATAAATACAGGATTTATATTTTCATCTTGTGATATGAAAATTATCATATTTCACTGATTGGATACCGCCACTCATGAAATATTTATTTTCAATAAATCCTGTAATTATATGAAAAAAACTTGAATATTGATAAGTGTGTCTAGCGCCTTTGGTTTTACATAAAAGCTTGCGAGGACTCTCGTGAAAAGTTCATATATAGCAAAATTAATTTGATTTTCATACAAACTTATTATAACTATGGTTTTCTTATATTGACAATGTCTAGATAAGCAAATGAATGCTCCCTTTTTAACTGTTTTGCAAGGACACCAAATATAAAATGGCCCTTTATATTAGGTTTGATGTATATTTCGAAATATAAAGTGAATAGAGTTCACAATGTTACATACACCGTCACCTGGTTTAACTCCTTTTAAATCATATAAGGAGTTAACTGAGGTCACTAAGGTTTCAGATACACGTACTGAGTTGTTTATGATATCAGACGCTGCTAATCGTGATAATTCAGCAATAAAAACGTAACTTATCTGTCAAGTCTGTCCTGAATTACCTATTCTAAAATTAAATTATTATAAAACATACTTTACTTACCTAAAAAAATCATATATAAACGAAGCACTTGTGATTAAATGTTTAAATTACTTATATTTTTAACAGTAACATATCGTAGCGGTTTTATTATCACAAAACATGTTTACAATTGTTTATGAACAGAACAGAACAGAACAGAACATTTATTTCACTTGTACAACATGTACATCGTGCACATAAATAACATATTTACACAACACAATTATAGTCACACAATCTATTTAAAACAAAACAAATGTTATATTAACCAATGAGTTATTAAGAGGATGATTATGATTAAATGTATATATTTTGACTCATTTGTTTATTTCTACGATTAAAAGCAATCTTACTAAATTTACAAAGTTTAACAAGAGTATCTTTTTCCCTGCAATTTAACAATTCGATAAGTTTAAGTTTTATGGACTACATCAGTTAACAAAGGAATGCTGATGAAGTTATGGATTTTAAAGTAGCTTTTATTCTCACTAAGCTAGTATTCTATTTAGTTGTTTGAGTCTCATAAGATTATAAGTAGCATATGGGACAGACCCATAATATAATTATACTATTATTTTATTCCTGAGCATTTTAACTCCGATCGTCCTTTATTCTACAAACACTCAAAGTTGATACAACGTATCTATTTCGTAACTATACTACATGTTTATATAGCCTTAACACTCATTTGGCCGTATTTTAAATGCATCACAGTTGAAACTGCTTTGCTGATTAAAAGATAAAAAATACTCTAATTCTTTTTTACTACTTGTATTTCAATACAAAGCAACAGCACCGCCAAACATCAGTGTCATTATGCACGTTTATACATGTGCAACATTTGGTGATGTCCCTCTCCTAAGGTATAGTAGGCCGAGCCATCCAATGACCAACATACCGCCTCCCCTGCCCTCTCCTGAATTAAAGAAAGCAATTAATTAAAAACAAATCTATTTCCAAATGACATGTGTAATAGATAATAATTTTGCTTAATGTATCATTATTATTTTAAATGTACTTGCAAACATTGATTATTTAGCATTTATCATGAACCAAATCGTTAGAATGTTTGAAACCCAGTTGTGGCGATTTTGAGTTGTTGTTTTTTATAATGAAGGAATATTGTTTCAAGGAACTTAAATGCTAAATGTGGACACTGGAAAAAGAGCCAGACCTCGATCGTTGCATTTTCTTTTTCGGCTTTACGGACTTGCCTCAGAACACAGCGGGTTGTGGGTTTAAACCTAATTCTCTAGGGCTTATACCTTATGGTACGGAACCTTAATCCCAGGTTGTGTCAGTGCCGCGACTATGTCGCCGTCCGCCAGTTTCCAGTAGTAAATATGATCCTTAGTCTTCACTAAAACTTCTGTGCCATCTGGTGAAATATCTCCTCCTGCAAGGGAGATGATCGTAATTTGAAATTCAAATAGTTTCAACAGATTTGCCTCCCTTTTTACCAATATTACATACATATATTTCTTAATTTAAAATTTTAAGAAACCTTATTTGATTTGGTTATAGTATGTTATAATTATTCTATATAACCCCTAAAATTATAGAGTCTATGCAACTGTTAATTTTTTTCATCTAATATGCCTAATGGTGTTCAGAAGAAACTATTTCACACATACACGTTACCTGCAGGGTCATGATGGTGTGATGACGGTACAGAAAGGTATGATCCTGAGTCTATATAAACCCGATTTTTCTGGCCCCATGCCTGTGCTGGTAGTTTAGCAATCTTACCATGTCCACCGACCTTGGTACTGATCACGTAAATGTCCGCATTGTTATCCACCATGATTGTATCGGCCGCAACCTCCGTCCAGCTTTACAAATATAGATAATACATGACGTGATATAGGGCATTCAAGAACATAAAGTACCGACCACCGTCTCCGTCCAGCTTTACAGATAAGATAACAACTGATATAGGACATTCAAGAACATTAAGATCGACCGCCGTCTCCGTCCAGCGTTACAAATGCAGATAATACATGACGTGATTTGGGGCATTAAAGAAAACAAAGTATCAGCCGTTGTCTTCGGCCAGCGTTACAAATGTAGATAATACATGACGTGATTTAGGGCATTAAAGAACACAAAGTATCAGCCGTTGTCTTCGGCCAGCGTTACAAATGCAGATAATACATGGCGTGATTTAAGGCATTAAAGAACATAAAGTATCAGCCGTTGTCTTCGGCCAGCGTTACAAATGCAGATAATACATGACGTGATTTAAGGCATTAAAGAACATAAAGTATCAGCCGTTGTCTTCGGCCAGCGTTACAAATGCAGATAATACATGGCGTGATTTAGGGCATTAAAGAACATAAAGTATCAGCCGTTGTCTTCGGCCAGCGTTACAAATGCAGATAATACATGGCGTGATTTAAGGCATTAAAGAACATAAAGTATCAGCCGTTGTCTTCGGCCAGCGTTACAAATGCAGATAATACATGACGTGATTTAGGGCATAAAAGAACATAAAGTATCGGCCGTTGTCTTCGGCCAGCGTTACAAATGCAGATAATACATGGCGTGATTTAAGGCATTAAAGAACATAAAGTATCAGCCGTTGTCTTCGGCCAGCGTTACAAATGCAGATAATACATGACGTGATTTAAGGCATTAAAGAACATAAAGTATCGGCCCGTGTTCGATTCCCAAACGGCGCAGGCCACTTTGATTAGATCATGAAATCCTTTCAACGGTTATTCCTTTCTGCAAATGCACTGTAACTCTGCTCTTCGGTGTAAAGAAGTTATCAAGTTCCTTGCAAAAGTGAAGGCAACTATACACTATAGTTCTGGTAAAGTGTTTGACAGCCTGCCCAGGAACGATGCGGTGCCGTGATAAATTCAATGTGGCTTACTGTCGTGATCCGGAGTGAAAACTGCCAACACCACTACAAAATATCGGCAGCGACCTCAGACATGCTTTACAAATTCAGATATACTTGATATATAGAACATCAGAAATTCAAGTTGTTTAATGTGTATATTTACTGTTATATATTTATCATTTATTTACAGATATGTTTTCCCTGTATTTATAATAATGCAAATAAATTTCTGGAATTCTGATTGGCTTAAACACTTTGTATACTATGCCGCATATACCGTGAAGAACCGAAGAAAGCACACGTAAACAATGTATTCCTACATCGTTGTAGGTGCATAAATGTGTTCATTGTGTTTTGTTCTTTATGACACATTTCTCCTCTCAAAAATTCATTACTTCCAAAAATAGTAAAAACTTAAACTACAACAGTGACCCCCTATACTTGAACTACATTTTATTGCGCTGCGCTTGTGTAGCGGTTGATGAAGTACATGTTCGTCTTTTTTTCCCGCGCTTCTTTGAAAACAACTAGTCTAAAGTTGCTGGGTTTTCAAACTCGATCAAAATTTGTGAACAATGTATTATTAATTCGTTATAAAATTATTGGCCGGATATACGGAAGAATATAGCCTGAATGAGAGAAATATAAAAAATATCCCTCGACTACCTCATTCAGGAATAAACATGTTCTCTCGCAACTTGTATACCTAGTATATATAGTGGTGTAAAATGCTATAAATGTCATATGTATGATATACACTTGATCACACAGACACAAATGGCTGACTTACGTAATACTTTTGCAACTATAAACACCGAAATGTAACCATATAAACACTTAAAAATCAATGTTAAAACACACAGAAATTACTGTTAAAACTTAAAACACAAAAAAATCAAATGTAGAAAACATTAGAAAATCGAGTGTAGGACAAAAGCCCCCCCCCCCCCCCCGGACGAAAGCCTCCCATCTTAAAATGACAAGGTGGACAAAAGCCCCCCCCCCCATGAAATTTACACATAGGACACCCCCCACCCCATTAAAAATACAGGTAGGACAAAAGCCCCCCCCCCCCCCATCTTTTATCACACACACAGGTGCTCAAATTCATCAAATTTCACACAAACTTTTAAATAAAAATGAAAAGAATTTGATTTAATGTTTATTTATATATTGAAGTGATAACAAAGTATATGATAACAGATGGAATAATGCATGCAATACTGAATTATAGCTTTTCATATTTTCATATACACAACAAGGGTAAGAAGAGTAGTAATGTATAATCACTTTTGTAAAGGGATCAAATTAATATCCTTAGCACTATGTTTCCTACATGTGATGTCCATACATAATTTCATCTTTTAAACACATAAAAAACACAACTTTAATACACTATATGTAAATTTGATTGACCATGGGGGGGGGGGCTTTTGTCTTACCCTTACTTTTTTATGGGGCGGGGCTTTTGTCCTATGTGTAAAATTCATGGGGGGGGCTTTTGTCCACCTTGTCATTTTTAGACGGGGGGGGGGGGCTTTCGTCCGGGGGGGGGGGGGCTTTTGTCCGTATCCCTAGAAAATCAACACAGAAATATCGAAAAGTTAAAGAAAATCAATGTTCAAAAACAAACCCAGGAAATCAATGCTATCAAATAGAAAATCTATATTATTTACATAAAATGATGTTATAAACCCAGAAAATCAATATTATAAATACACAAAAAATCAAAATGCATCACTCAGTGTAATGTATAAATAAGAGTATAAAAGTCAACTTAAATTGAAGCATATAATTCAATTATTCATGTTATAAAAACAACATTTAAACACATCTGGATAATAAATACAGAAAATCCATGCTCTAAACACAAATTTCATATGTAATCACAATTAATATTGTTAAAAACACAGGAAATAAATCAATAACATAACCAGACTTAATCAATATCAAACCAAGAATACAAACTAAGAAATAAAAACTAATACTAACTTGTACTTGTAGGTTGAATCAGGTGCTACTGTTTGATTAACCAGTGCGTCTGGTTCAACGACACGGTAAATTGTTCTCTTATGGACACCATGATGATAGTTACCATCGTCAAGGATATAGATGCACGTGCGTTTATCTCCTTTGGCACATGGACCTACAGCTATATCTTCCCAATCGTTGTTATACGCTGGGCTAGAATAACAAAAAAGTACGAATTGAGAGAGAATTTTTGAAAATGTACACAATGCTAGAATAACAAAACATACACATTGTAGCCAATACCCGCCCAATATACGCTAGCCTGTTGGTTTTCTATTAAAGGCACATTAAAGTAATAAATCATCAGATAAATGTTGCTCATTAAATCCTTGTTTATTGGAGCCGAGACCCCTAAGGAGCTTCCTGTTAGTCATAATACTGCATGCCTGGAGACAAGTTGCCGACATAATGCTTGCGGTCATGCAGGCGTTATCAGCAGATTACTCTTAGAGCCTCTTACTGTACATGTATATTGTCACATTTATTCGGTCTATTATTAAAAACAACTGCCTGTTTTTAATGACACAATGTCATCATGCCATAATTACCTGTAATGTGTTGAATCTAAAATATAACCCATTTTTTTCTGAGTGTATTCAAAAGATGTTTATTTTATATTTCAAAAGAGGCCAGTTTTTTTTTCCAAATATCAATATGAGCATAATATATCTTTAAGAAAAAAGGCAACTGAAACTGGCACCTGAGCACAAAATGCTTTTAAATATGCATGTATATTGTTATTAGAAAACATGATCTCTGTCCCGACCACTACATTATCTTTCTGATAACTATCGGCTTTGTTTGTTACAATTGTCAAGAAAACACGCCTGGTTTGTTCAATCAAACCGAGTCTGCAATTCTTATGTTATTTTGTTGTGATTAATGCTTCCGAGGGATCACTTTGTTTCCAGAATTTTGTTACCTGATGTTAAGCGTGGCAACCACCCGAGCCGTAGATGCATTGATCGCAAACAGCCTCGGCGAATCACCGTTATCATTGTGTGAGTACAGAATACCAGGATGCAGACGACTTGCAGCAAGTCCCGAAGCTTCGTCGAGCTCAGAACTGTCTATCCGACCCTGATTTATCATTTGGGAAAACGTCGGGACTGAAAATATATCATGTTTATGCATGAAGTGAGCAGTATCATCAGTTATATAACTTATATTCTTCTCTTATATTCTTCATAATTTGAAGATATGCCAGTTGAAATTAAAGTAAAGTTATATCAAGTAAAATGGCTGACAGTCAAGGTCAAATTGGGTCAATGTCAGATCAAATTCAGTTATGCTTTTCTTTTCTCCAAAGGGTTGTTTACTCTGATTATGGCACAATCCATTTATTGATGCAAAGATATAGTTACAAGGGCAGCGATACCCTAAAGAGAGCGCCGATAGATTTTAAGCATTGCCAGAATATCTTACAGACATTGCAAGAAATAAACGTGTAGCACTATAAGCAATCCCAAAACAAACGTTGTCTCTGTGCATTGTGATAAGAGCGTGGTGAGCCGTAAGGGAGCTGTAATGACGTAGTTATAGCTCTTTGATCGCAGTTCGAACGCTGAGATTATTCGTGTTTTTTTGCATGGAGAAATTCATATTGTATGTGGTATGCAGATAGCATCTTTCTGTTTTGGCATTCTACAGAGATTCCATACTTTTCACATTTGGTATTTAAATGTACATACTACCACTATCTCGATGAGCTGTTGTTGCCTTACCTTCTGTAAGACCTGCAGTTGTTTGTGGGAGAGTCGGTGCTGGTGTGGTAGTATTTCCTATAAGGGACAAATAGACACTGCAAAAGTTTTCATTTCATTATAATTTGAGTAAATATGAATATTTACAGTATATTTATAGTACAAGATCTTTTTAACAAACCTTTTCAATTTTCTTATAAAAGACTATCATGTTTCTGTTTCTTTAATACCGTTCATTTGTTAGCGGGAAGCATATTTCCTATACGTTTAGCTATACATTATATGTACCAGTTTTTCTGACATTTATTAAGGAGATTCTACATTGAGTTAGAAATTATCCCCATCCTAAACAAAAAGTATTGTCCACCGGTAACATATTGCTTAAGTATTAATCAACGGAATAGACAAACAAGTCGAATGTTAATACTTTAAGCCAGAACCATTTATAATCAGCCATACCAAATTCCAGAAGTCAGCAGTGAGTAGCACGTAGCACCTGGTAATACTATAGTAGGTTCAATAATCAACAGGGGAGAAGATTCGGGCATGAATCCGTTATGGCCGTAAAGCAGATATCCAAGAAAAGCAGCATCAGCAATAGAAGAGGAGCAATGACTGACCGCAATGAAAATAGCACTTTCGTTATGATTGATCATGAAATCCTTTCTACGGTCATTTACACTGTACCTCTGCTCTGGCTTACTGTCGTGATCCGGAGTAGAATAAACAAAACACTAGAGACATTTTAAGCAATAATCCAAAAGATGACAATGCATGTTAGAAATGTCATATTGATGAGAGCACGGTGGCGCTTAAAATTTAATTTTCAAAATTTCAAAGCAAATGATATCAATAAAATTAAACTTACTGACATCAATATACACAGTTTCATGGGCGGTATGTTTGATTTGAGCGTATACATTATACACTAAGCAAGTATATACTCCTGTGTTTTCAATCTGAATGTTGGTAAGTGACACGTTTGGACCATGTACCACTGTTCCATTAGGCAAAAACCAGGAATATATTGGTGGCGGATTTGCATCTGCTACACAATTCAAAGTCAAAATCTTAGTTCCTACATCAACTGTTTTGTCACCTATAGCAGTTACTACTGGAGGGTCTGAAAAATTAACAAAGATTAATAATGTATTAGTAGGTGAAAAGGTACTTTTTGCATGTTATGAGTGTAAATTGATTAAAATAAACATTGCAAAATTTGTACCATAAAACAGTTACATAGAGGATCAAGGTGTTTGTACTAGTACGTAAAAAGATACATTTTTTGGATGTAATAAGTGAATATTGATAGTTAACTTTAGCATTGCAGAATTTGTACCATGGAACAGTTTCATAGAACTTTCAAGGAGTTTCAGTAACTGAACACACCAAACAAAATGCAATCTAGTCGTGAAGATTGTTTTCGTCTTAATTGGTAGCTGAGGCAAATCATCACTGCGACTAGTACATAGAGGTTATCTTTCTTTTTGATATAGTGCACGTAGTAATATCTTTGATAAAGTCATATTGTGAAAAGAGTTTCTTAAAATATTTCATCCATCATATGGAGTTACAGTTTTCAAATAGTTATACACTTTTTACCATTTTAATGGATTTTTTTGTGGTTGTTATTTGTTTTTCGACGAATTTAACTCGTTTTTGTCTTTGCAATATCTCGGCAGTCGTTCAATCTACCGACTCCTGGATAACTAACCAGTAATTACCTATTTATTTTCAATTACCAAATTATTTTCAAGTTACCGATTTCTAACTCAGTTTGATTTCTGACTCAGCGGCGGGTGACAAATGGTTATTAGAAAAAATGTCCAAGAACAAATGCCACTGAGAAACTGAACCTACGCCTCACCTAAGGATCGAACCAGTGACCCCTGGGTTACTAATCTGATTCTCTCTTATGCTCTCCCTATTGAGCAATTTAATCTATAAACATCAAGGGGCTCATTCTAATGCGAACATTTTTGAACGAAAGGTTAGCCATAACTGTAAACAAAGTAAGAACAGAGATTGAAAGCCAAGTACATTCTATAAAGATACTTACAATATACAGGGATATTTTGAGTTTGCGCATAACCATCTCCAAATTCATTGTAGGTATCATGTTGAACTGTACATCGCACTATCATGTTATTGAACGACCTGAGCATTGTCAAATGAAGTGTTGATGCCTGTTTAGAACTACAAGTACTTGGTTGGAACACGGTTGCTTGCGATATTGCCATAGCAGATGCATTGATCGGATCTGTATAGTTGCTACCAAGATAATAAAACCAGCCAAGATGGCCGGCTTTTTCATTTCCCACATCGCCAATACATTGAAATATCACGTTATCGCCCTCTTTAATAAATGTGTTTGGTGTATATGAAATTGTTGTACCTTGTTCAAATAATGCGTTTGGGTTTGCTGAAAATTCAGCAAAGAAATTTTGAAATAATATAATTTCTTTTATAGTGACTACTGAAATGTCGGAATGAAATATATGAAGAGCTCCGCTAAGGTGGGGGAATAATAAACCGTTTTGATTGCACTTGATGGTATAATTCTATCATATTCATATGCGCAGTACAACAAAAACCATTCATTTCGAATAAAATGCTGTTAAGTCGTGTAATTTTCACAAAATAACCTGCGATCAGGTCACTTTCGACTAACACTTGCGGTGACTTCGATATTACATATCTTCTTATTACTTGAAATGAATGACAGCTTTATTAACTTTAAGAGTAATCAATTCCCTACCATTTGGTACAATGCTTTTGAAAAAATGTAAGTTACTGCAGTTTACATGGTTTTGGAGGGGGGGGGGATAGAGGGGGTAAGGGTTGTGGTGGCAGGGGTTAGTGACCAATCAACGCGCCGACACCTGTGGTAGAAATCAACAAGAATCGACAGAAATTTTAACGAAAGAAATATTTATTAAAGTCATTTTTACACAGAGCTACTAATTGGTCTATCAAGTGAATTAAAGACATTGATAAACGTCATAGATGGGCAAGAGCCCTGAAATGAATAATTCTCTCGGGGCCATTATTTTTTTTGCGGGCCGATTTTCACCTTTTGGCCCTACTCTGCTGTGTAATAATCTCGGACGGAAAAACACCATATTATACCATGTCCTTAAGTCATATGCGATCAGGAGTATAAAATCTTCTCAAATATATTTTAAATTCATGAAAGTGTCACAACTTGTAAGTAAAAATAGTTTAATTATCAGAAGAGTTAATGTAAAATTCTCTCAAAAATAATAGAATTATATCTTTGAAAAGTGATTTAATTATATTTAGATCCAAAGTACAAATTAAATAGCGGTGATTAAGACTTACGACGTCACTTTGGTGCTTAGGAAATGCTGTACAACAGTCACACCTTTCTTTAAAAATCTCAAAAAAAAGGTTACATGAAGTTATTTTTACCTTTAACAATTACTGCCACAGAATCTTCAACTGTTTTTACAGCACCATCCGTATACAATGCCTTACAATTGTATGTTGCTTTGTCTTCACACTCTATCGTATTGAAAACGAGAGTTGCTGTTTTACTTTGCTCCGTTGGTTTTGTGGCTATAGTCCTATGTTCCAACGCCGTATCTTGATATGTTACATTTAAAGGACTGCTTGGATTTTGAAAGGTCACAATAGTTTCGTAGGTTTCAGTAGTACCAGTGCCTCTTTTCCTCTGGAGCTCTATTGAAAACAGTTGGTCATTTGCCGTAAGTGTATAATGGCAAGATAATGTAAATGGATTATCACCAAGAATAGCCTTGTCGGCACTTGTCGATGCAGTAAGTGTAAAGGATGAAACATCTGAAAACAGAAAAAATGGCTTGTTTTATAAGCTATCTCAAGAAATATGAATATAACTTATCAATTATGCCTAAAATATTTTTTTTTCTAGATATTTTAGAGATGAAAACCCGATAAGTCGCAGGACACTGAATTATAAGATACTGGAAACTGAAAACAAAGCTGCCAAAGTGATGTGATTGTTAAAAATAACCGCCTTATAATGCAGGAAATGAAATGAATCGACCAAAGTATCCAAAAAGTGTAAATAATAGCCGATACTATATATATAATAAAATAAATATGTTCGTCATATTAATATAAGACCAAACCACTTTCTTTTTATTTCTTATCTTGATTATTTGAGTTCATACACTTTGAAGTTCATAGAGAAGGTACGAAAAAGATAAGAAAAGTAACACAACACCCCCAAATAGCGCTCAACAAAACAACCCTTGCAGAGTCAATGGCTCCTAACATGATTAATTTTACCAGGAAATGTCAACATACACTCAGAGGCACGTAAAACAAACCCGACACTTACATTTTTCTGTATAAATATTTTATTTGTGAACGGATTTTGTTCAAATTTGAACCATACAAAATTCAACATATACAGAAAAAAGCAAGTGTCGGGTTATAAGTACCTCTGATTGTATCCTTACAGTTACTTGATAGTGACCGCCAGCATCATTTCAAAACTTTGTCATTTCTTTGTTTTTGACGAAAAATTGCCCTGTTTGTTATACAAACACTTATTTAACCTTATTTGCTACCTTATTGTAATTTACATTTAAAAGTACATGTGTTAATAACATAACTGGCATGATTTTAAAACAGACAAAATAGAGAAAAACAGGGGCATTTCATTACATTATAAATTCTTCTTATTAATGAGTTTTTTGTCTAAGCTCAACATTTTTTTTACCAATATTTTACCATTTTAATTTTACGTTGTATTCTCATTGGATACCGTTCTAGTTCCCCGTAAAGACCAGCTAGATAAGTTGATTTTTAACGCTAAGTGTCTTTCATAAAGAAATTACAGTATATACGCTCAAAATCCTTCATATAATATGGACAAAATTATCTATGGCAAATTAGAGAAGAATGTATTTTCAAGGCGCGATGACTGGGATATTGTCCGTTGTTGCTTTTCGGATGTCATATATGTTGCTCTTTTAGTTTGAACCCTTGATAAGTCATCAGACATGACTTCTAATATTTTGTTTTAAAGAGATTTGCATTAAAATTTGCCCGATTGAGCACTGCAAGCAATGTTCATTAGTGAGCTAGACATTGAGATAATTCTTTTAAACGCTTTTGTACCCAAGAGCCACAATCCCATAGCAATATTGGCAGAAAAAGTATTCTTTCATTAAAAAATAAAGTAAAAATTATTTAAAAAATTATTTTTGGTTTTATAAAATTGTTGTTTTGTACAAGTATGGGTCAAATCCATTAACTACTAATCATGATAAAAAATAACATTTGATAATAATAATATTCATTAAAGAAATACAGAGTATGATTTTATGATTTTTTTTAAATGAACTTACCTCTATTACATGCAAATAGTAATAGAATAAACAAGTAACATGCACTCATTTTGCTGTCCTTAAGATAAATGAAAGCGGTGCTATGATTAAAATCAAGGTTTTGATTTATCACGTTTAGTCCTCCCGCGTGTGTATAATGTATATATTTAGACATGTATCTTTCTTATCTATAAAAGATTTGTGGATTGTTTGGTTCAGAGTACTTTGAAAATCTTGTCATCGCACTGCTTACATAGGTTATCTCCCTTCATCAGTCGATGGATACATAGAAGAATCAAAGTCATTTTGGGGTCAGATCGCACTCCCAGACGTGATACGCCCCTGCAAACACCGGTATGTTTCATCGATAAAACTGGTTTTCAAGCAATTTTCACATAAATAAAAAAGTACCTTAAGTACCTTCTACTTTCTTGAGACTTGATGGTAAAAGATATTTTTTTATTGGAAATAGTTTGGAAACCAGTAATATCGAGGAAACATGTCCAATTCGTGTTAAATGTTAAATGATTTTGATTGGGTATCACGAGAGAGGACAGGACCTGACGCGTACGAAAGTGGGAAGAACACTTCGTAGATAATTCATAATCATCTCGGAAAAAAACAGGATTGAGGAAAATTGCTTCATGTGTCGTTTGATGTAAGCAAGACTTTAGCGCAGAAACTGTACCAAGTAGCGAATGTATGTGTTTCACATTCATAAGAAAGTAACATTATAATAAATATCGGAATCAATTTAAGATTGTTAATTAACAAAGAATGTTTACTAAATCCGAAATATCGTAAACAACTTTACATTTTGTTATTATCTATTAATAACTTAAACATATATATAAATAGTATCCGTTTCACTTATAAGTATGTGAGTTCTTTTACAGTAAATTAATTCTATCTAAATCGACTTTTTCGTGCTGTATTGAAATAATTAAGTCACCAGAAGCATTTATATACTATTTGTTTACATGATTAAATGATGAAGCGAATGTTAGACCGAAATACCGTTTTGTTAAGACTTTCAGGGGTTGATAAATTTCAGTTGTGATTTTTTTGTTGACTGACGCTTATGAAAACACTTGAGACCTTGAACTTGAAAGTTTGCATAGGCGGTCTACCTCCTTGACATAAAATTACGAATTAATTAAATACAGGGGACATTGCACAGATCCATGAAATCAATTAACGTTTAAGACCGGGTTCAAGTTGTCGCCCTTAGATGATGTCATTGGGTAATCCGATTAATCACAGGAACCTGAAATTCTATCCAAAACAAAAAAATAACGATTTAAAAAAAATCCCATACATATACATGTACTAGTGTTTTTTTATATTTATATTTTTTTAAATCGTTATTTTTTGTTGTGGATAGAATTTCAGGTTCCTGTGCATTAATAAAGGGATATAAATATCTTAATCCTTACTCTTGTAAGATTAGCAGATTAAAACTGCCAAAATTTGTGTAATTGAATAAGATATATAATTAAAAGGATGGTCAAATGAATAAAAATGTTTACCATTATAACGTTAAGGATCATGTATATATATAGATTATATGCTTAATTTATTGAACGAGTTGCATAGAATTATATTCATGGCAACTTCTAGTGATCTTAATGTTATTTCATTCATTGATTTAAAAAGCACAAGGTGGGTGTTGGTCAAGATTTTTATTTCAATAGTTCTTAAAAACTAGGAACCCCATTGTATGTCACCCAAAGTTTGATTGGTTTTAAGCGTATGTATGGTATCTCTGCAGTGTTTGCTTGTCATATATTGACTTTAAATTGTTTAGTTTGAATTCTTCAGGACCTTATTTCTGGGCGACAGAAACTGGAAAGCATGCAAGATTTTTAAATGTACAATTTCAAAGGTGACACAGCAAAAATGTCTGAAAGAGGAAGCCGACTATTTTATTTTATCTTTTAGGGTCTTATTTGACTTGGATAGAGTTGAAACATATTATCTCAAAATAAATTGCGGAATCCAGAATTTACCCTTAAATGTGACCTACACCTCTTCCTTGGTTACATAAACTTATTCGTCAGTAGTGGTAAATTAGAAAAAAAACAATCGAACCAAAACTTTCCAATTTGCTATGCATTTCTATCGTTACTATGTTTTAAAAATAAATTTAGAATTACTCCACGTCTGTTGATGTTTCTTAATTTATAATTTCACCATTACCATGTTTAAATACTGAACTTTGCTTAAGCCAGCGTTCAGCTAGATGGTAGATTGTACTTTCTAGTACTGTCCATGAAAGGCTTAATCAATCCAGCCTACAATAGTTTTAATTATTGACATTCTTCTATTTCTGGAACTAAATGAAAGGCCCGTTTATTTCAAGAAAAGAATACAAACATGGTAAGGTATTTTGGACATTCTTTATTGATTTAATTTCTCTTTTTTTCATTCAAAAATCATTTGTTCATTAACAGTTTTAAGCACTTGAGAATATTTGAGAAAAAAACTTGAAATTATACTTTTGTATTAATAATAACTTCCAAACGTGTAAACTTAGTATTCGTTGAGGATTATATGATTCAAAGTTAGTAAAGGGATGCTTGAGAATTTATGACATGGATATGTTTTCACAATTTTCGTTGTAGCTTCAATGAGTTCCCTCTCTAAAACAGTATGATTTAAACATTCTGACAATTGGCATTACATAGTGGATTAAAAAAATAAGAAATTCTGAACATCTTTTACGTAATATATTAATATTATGCACGTTCGTACATATACAGCTTTTGGTGTAGTCCTTCTCCCAAGGTATAATAGGCCGATCCGTCCGCTGACCAACATACCGCCTCCCCTAACCTCTCCTGAAATAAAGAAAGCCAGTAAATATACAATTCGAAAGACAAGTGTAATAGAATTTGATTTACATATCATTTTCTTGTTCTAAATAATTATAAATGTACGTATTTGCAAATATTGATAATTTGGTATTTGTTCATGAACCAAATCTTAAGAAGGTTTGAATCCCGGCGGTGGCGATTTTGAGTAGTTTCTACTTTTTGTGTCGCATTGAAAAAAGCCGACATATACGGGTTATTTTTGTCGGCGGCGTCTGCATCCCCTTAAGCTTGTGCGGAGCATAAGTCAGTCATTATAAGTCAGATTGACTTCAAACTTGGTATGCATGCTTTTTATAATGACCCAAATGCAGTGCACAAGAAACTCTGTACTCTGCATTTCTTATTTTTTTTGAGTTATTGCCCTTTGTTACTTTTAATACTTTATTTTTGTCCGGGCCATTTCTCATAACGTATAAAAGCTATGAACTTGAAACGTCATAGGATGATAGATCTCATTAAGAAAGAGTGGAGTCCATAAAGACTGGTACTCTGCATTTCTTATTGTTTGAGTTATTGCCCTTTGTTAATTTTCATACTTTAATTTTGTTCGGGCTATTTCTCCTAAAGTATAAAAGATATGGACTTGAAACTTCATAGGATGATAGATCTCATTAAGAAAAAGTGCAGTGCACAAGAACCGGTTCGCTGCATTTCTATTTTTTGAGTTATTGCCCTTTGTTAATTTTAATACTTTATTTTTGTCCAGGCCATTTTTCATAAATTAAAAAAGCTATAGACATGCAACCTCATAGGATGACAGATCTTATTTATAAGAAGTGCAGTGCATTGAAACTGTTGCTCTGCACTTATTTTTTGAGTTATTGCCCTTTGTTTATTGTCATATTTCATTTTTGTCCTGATCATTTCTTCTTAACTATATTGTTTACAAGGCGACACATCCGACTCGCGGAGTTCTAGTTTGTAATAAAGGAAAATTGTTTCACGAGACTTAAAATGTGGACAGCAGAATAAGAACCTTCGTTTGTCAGTTGCATTTTTTCTTTTTCGACTTCATGGACTCTCAGAACACAACAAAGTGTAAGGACTGAGCCCTTTTCGGGAATATGATGATCTTATACCTTATAGTAGGGAACCTTAATTCCTGGATGTGTCAGTGCCGCGACTATGTCACCGTCCGCCGGTTTCCAGTAGTAAATGTAATCCCGTGTCTTCACTAACACTTCTGTGCCATCTGGTGAAATATCTCCTCCTGCAAGGGAGATGATCATAATTTAAAATTCCTTTAGTTTTAATAGATGTGTCTCCCTTTTACAAATTTGTGTATGCCTTGTATATATTTCTCATAAGAACGTTTTAAATTAGGTATTATCACGGAACGTTATATTTCTCTATCTGTAATAAAAATCTCTGGTATAATTTGATGTAATGATTTCATTTTCGTCATAAAACTATACAATATATGCAACTGTTAAATTTCTGCTACATAACATGATGATTTGGTATATGTCACACACATACATTACCTGCAGGGTCATGGTGGGATGAGTACATAGCAAAGTATGATCCTGAGTCTATATAAACCGGATTTTTCTGGCCCCATGCTTGTGCTGGTAGTTTAGCGATCATACCACGTCCACCTAACGTGTTACTGATCACGTAAATGTCCGCATTGTTATCCACCATGATTGTATCGGCTGCCGTCTCCGTCCAGCTTTACAAATAAGATAAAAACTGATATAGGACATTCAAGAAGTATCGACAGCCATCATCTTTGTAATTAATACATTTAGTGATTTAGGGCATTAAGAAAATACCGTTAGAATATCTTATGCCCTCTCCTTCCAGCTTTACAAATACAGATTATAAGTTTTAAAGAACATTACCGAAAATAAAGTATTGGCATCCCTCTCCGTCCAGCTTTAAAAATACAGATAATAAGTTACAGAAGACATTACAGAAAGTAAAGTATCGGCATCCCTCTCCGTCCAGCTTTAAAAATACAGATAATAAGTTACAGAGGACATTACAGAAAGTAAAGTATCGGCATCCTTCTCCGTCCAGCTTTACAAATACAGATAATAAGTTACAGAGGACATTACAGAAAGTAAAGTTACGGCATCCCTCTCCGGCAAGCTTTACAAATACAGATAATAAGTTACAGAGGACATTACAGAAAGAAAAGTATCGGCATCCTTCTCCGTCCAGCTTAAAAATACAGATAATAAGTTACAGAGGACATTACAGAAAGTAAAGTAACGGCATCCCATTCCGTCCAGCTTTAAAAATACAGATAATAAGTTACAGAGAACAATACAGAAAGTAAAGTAACGGCATCCCTCTCCGTCCAGCTTCAAACATTCAGATAATAAGTTACAGAGGACATTACAGAAAGTAAAGTATCGGCATCCCTCTCCGTCCAGCTTTAAAAATACAGATAATAAGTTACAGAGAACAATACAGAAAGTAAAGTAACGGCATCCCTCTCCGTCCAGCTTTAAAAATACAGATAATAAGTTACAGAGAACAATACAGAAAGTAAATTAACGGCATCCCTCTCCGTCCAGCTTCAAACATTCAGATAATAAGTTACAGAGGACATTACAGAAAGTAAAGTATCGGCATCCTTCTCCGTCAAGCTTAAAAAATACCGATAATAAGTTACAGAGGACATTACAGAAAGTAAAGTATCGGCATCCTTCTCCGTCAAGCTTAAAAAATACAGATAATTAGTTACAGAGGACATTACAGAAAGTAAAGTAACGGCATCCCTCTCCGTCCAGCTTAAAGAATTCAGATAATAAGTTACAGAAGACATTACAGAAAGTAAAGTATCGGCATCCTTCTCCGTCAAGCTTAAAAAATACAGATAATAAGTTACAGAAGACATTACAGAAAGTAAAGTATCGGCATCCCTCTCCGTCCAGCTTAAAAAATTCAGATAATAAGTTACAGAGGACATTACAGAAAGTAAAGTATCGGCATCCCTCTCCGTCCAGCTTAAAAAATACAGAAAATAAGTTATAGGGGACATTACAGAAAATAAAGTATCGGAAGCCGTCTTAGTCCAGCTTTACAAATACATAATCCATGATGTGATTAAGGACACAACAAAGCATAAAGTATCGTTAGACGCCCCGTCCATCTATACAAATAAATAATGCTTGACGTGATAAAGGACATTTTAGAAATTTAGTAGCGGCAACCTTGTCCAACCAGCTATACAAGTACATATAAAGCATGTCGTGTACATTACAGGAAGTACAGAATGGACAGTCGTCCCTGTCTAGCTCTACAAGTACAGATAAGAAATGTCGTTATATAGGGCATCACAGTTTAAGTATCGACAGCTTCTCTCTTCCTCTCGGTTTGTGCACATCGTTAAGAAGGCACAGGACATAGGCATATGATTCGAAGATCCTCTGTGACCTTTAAAGCAGGTATATATCATGTTCCTTACAGCTTGGACTTGCATTTAAGACGGCACGACTAAGCGTATATGAAGTGAGCTGCCGTGTGTGCTGATCTAAGCCGAGGGGAGTTGGCTCTACAAAGTTGGCAGGACAACCAGTATAGTGTGTTAGGATGCGTGTTGACTTGGATAGGGCATAATGACAAAGAAAAGTAATATAATACGTAAATAACATTCATGTTTTAAAAAGTTATCAAAAATAAATAATGTTAAAAACACAAATATCAATATCATGTCCACAGAACATCAATCTTGTTTCAAAACAGAATTAAGATAAAACTGATAATACTAACTTGTACTTGTAGGTTGAATCAGGTGCTATTGTTTGGTCGACCATTGTGTCTGGTTCAACGACACGATAAACAGTCCTCTTGTCAACACCGTGATAGTTACCGTCGTCAAGGATATAGATGCACGTGCGTTGATCTCCTTTGGCACATGGACCAACAGCTATATCTTCCCAATCGTTGTGATACGCTGGGCTAGAATAAAAAAAAAATAGTGCTAGAGTAACAAAATGTCCGCAAGGCAATTAATAAAATATACACAGGGCTAGAATAATAAATGCCCACATGGCTAGAATAATATATATATATAAAAGACTAGTGCACAGGCCTAGAATAACAAAATGTACACAAGACAAGAATTATTTAATGTACACATGGCTAGAATAATAAATGCACACATGGCTAGAATAATAAATATACACAAGCATGAAATAACGAAACGTGCACATGGCTAGAATAACAAAATGTACACAAGACAAGAATTATTTAATGTACACATGGCTAGAATAATAAATGCACACATGGCTAGAATAATAAATATACACACGCCTGAAATAACGAAACGTGCACAGGGCTAGAATAACAAAATGTACACAATGCAAGAATAATTAAATGTACACATGGCTAGAAAAATAAAATAGTCCCACGACAAGAACACTAAAATGTACACAAGAATAGACTAACAAAATATACAGAGAGTTAGAATAGCAAAATCTACACAACGTAAAAACAGAGAGGGCTAAACTAACAAAGAGTACACATGGCTTAATTAACGAAATGTTCACAGGTCTAGAAAATACATAAATAAAAGTTATGCTTTTAATTGAGAAAATAGGCAAATAAAACTATATTGATAAGTGTATTTGGCTAGGTTTAATTTTATATACCTCTAAGTAAAAATTGATGCTGTTCGAATTATAAGAAAACATGATCTCTGAAATATTCGCCTATATTTTTCAAACAGCAAGTGAATATTTGAACTCGCCATTTTGAACACGCTCATGGTTAGTTACCTTATTTCAAGTGTGGCAACAACCTCAGCCGTAGATGCATTGATGGCGAACAGTCTCGGCCGATCACCGTGATCATTGTGCGAATACAGAATTCCAGGGTGCAGACGACTTGCAGCAAGTCCGGAAGCTTCGTCCAGCTCAAAACTGTCTATCCGACCCTGCTCTACTTCTGGCGAGAAAATTGGGGCTGAAACGAAAACATGTATGTACGTGAAGTTAGCAGTAACAGCAAAAACAGTATCAGCAGTGGTAATAACAGCAAAAACATTAACAGCAGAAGTAGCAGTAGCAGCTGTAGCAGTAAAGAGCTCTTCAATAGTATTAAATCCATCAATAAGATCCGCTATATAACACTTTGACTAAATTTAAGGATTTGGAAAAACTCATTGAAAGTTAAGAAATATAATTGAGTTTCTAAGTAAACAGTAAAAAAGGTCTACAGAACCGGCTAATATGGGCACAAAAGCTTGCCTGGCCCTATATTGGATTAGGTGGCAGACTAAATCACTATTTATTCCAGGACATTAAAGGGTCAACATTTAGTGCATAACGAATCAAGTATGTTTTCTCTCTCCGAATAAATCTATTTCTGACGTCTTGTAGATTACTAGTGTGGAAACTTGTTTTCAGAAGATCTACATTCTGATAAGTAAATGTTGTATGAACAATGAATGTGTCGCACACAACTATAACTAGCTTTTATGTGTGTATGTATTCTATGAATAATGAGGCTCCATCCGGCCTTTAAGGCACTAAAAGCAGCTTTCGCTGTCGAGTCCAGACCCTGGACATGTCACCAATTGTCGTTTTAGAAGCACAAAGAAGCGATAATTTACCTCCATGCAATTTCCACGAGGAATTTGCCAAAGGTACGAATTTTGAGCCAAAAGGAGGTCACTGTACAGCGGCCAATGAAAACCTAAATTTAAAGAAACCCAAGACAATATGAGGAGGGAGCCCTGAAAAGCGCTGTTTGTGCCAAGCAATGGGCCTGTCTTTCAAGCTGTCATTCTCTGCGCTAGGGGCTTACCTCGGGGCACCAGCAGTTGGTCTGAAGATACACGTTTTGGTTTTCGTTTTTTACACCATCCCGAGTTCTTCAAATCTTCTACAGATGTCCTGTGCCTTTTCAGCTAGATCTACATGCACGCACCGAAATGTGTGAGAAGACTAATTGTTTGTTTCTTTCTTTCTTTCAGTACCCCCAAAAATATATTAGAATCAATAATCATCACCATAATAATAATAATAATAATAATAATAATAATAATAATAATAATAATAATAATAAATCAATTCAAAAATATTCATTGATTGATAAATTGATAAGTCTATATTTACCTGTCTGTGATTGTGATTTACAGACAAAAAGGAAAAGAAAAAACAAGTAGCAGCTATTCATTTTTCCTCCTGTGTGTAAGGTATGACAGAAGTGCTATGAGATCGACATGGTTTAGTTTGATTCACATGAATCTGACCCTCTTATCTTTAAGGTAATTCGCCCATTTTACATTTGTTTTCATACAATTTGACGTGATATGATTCAATTACATTTTCTCTGCTCTTTCGTCAAACTTCGGAAATACACAGAACGGATACGGTATTTCGTCAAATTTCGGAAATACACAGAACGGATACGGTATTTCGTCAAATTTCGGAAATACACAGAACGGATACGGTATTTCGCCAAATTTCGGAAATACACAGAACGGATACGGTATTTCGGTTTAATTTACGCATGCAAACAAATGGTAATTTAATGCTGGCAGTTGATTACGTCCATCTTAATTAAGTATAAAACATATAAAAGTAAACGAATACATTTTTATATACTTATTATTATAGTTGTAGAAACCAAAAGTAAAAAAGGTCTACCTATTGACATTAATTCATTCAGATTTGCTTAAAATTGTACATCAGTGGGGACTTTTAAATAGACATATTTTCAATAATAGTTTTTGACGAAATAGACTTAATTTTCTTTAGGAATTCAAGTAATTACATTCGTTATACATTATCAATGATTGTATCATGGTTTTAGGACCTTTCTGTTGAAAATGTGTCAGAGTTAAATCATATACACATACTTACTGGAGTGCATGTATTTATTACCCGCACTACAGAGCATGCCCATTTATTGGCTCATTTTTTCTGCGGTTTACTATTTGTGAGTATAACGATAGAAATATAGCATTCAGATGCTCGTTCATTGGCTACTTTTCTCTGGGGGTTTCATACTGTGACAACACGGAACGTGTTTTTATTTCATGATTCAAAAGAGAAAGAACATCAAAACACTCGGAATTCTAATTTATACTCGGGGTTTTACGCCCCCGCGTACAAATCAGATAGCCTCATGTTGCGATGCTCTTTCTATTACTTACACCCTCCATTTTTGTTTATATCGAAAGAAAAACACGTGGTAGAACTACTTTTCAATCCGTATTAAGTCCGAGGGTATTATTCATAACAGCCGAGATGTTCCGACTGGATATGTTCAAGACCATGCAAGCGTCAAATGACATTGTTTAGCATTATTCTTAGAATGACGGCCTTCCCATATGGCACACTGATTTCCGATAAAACATAATACACATGAAGAGTCAAATAAGCCAACAGGTTTTGGATAATTGTGGATTGAATACCTTAACAAATTAATTTCTGATCCTCAAGGACATACATACTTGTACATGCAAGTTTCCAAAAGATCACAAGTGTTTATAGATAACGCTGTGATAATACTTTTCAAGCTTGTTCGCTTTTCATACATGAATTTTTTCAAATTTTTTATGTTCGAAAAAATTTTTTTAACCTGGACGGGCCGATCATATTTTTAAAAACCATACATCATCCCAAAACCCATCCTTTTTAGCCAAACTCATGAAACAAATAGTTTAAAATAAGCCCGGGCGCTTTAATTTTTAAACCCGGTTTTATATCTTTTAGCGGGAAAAAAACCGGTTTATAAAAAAAAAAAGTACAAAAAAACCCTTTTGAAAAAAAATTGTTAAAAAATCATGTAGGCTGTAAAAAAGGGGATTTTAACAAAAACAAAATTTTGAAATTTTAATATGTATAAAAAATTATTATTCTAAAAAAAATTTCCCAAAAACACCCAAAAGAATGTAAAATATGTACTGCAAATGTTTATGCGCATTATAAGTATTCATTTAACTATATGCATTCATTTTTTATTGAAAACTTTGGCTTAGACTTTATGGAAAATAATTTTCTAATTACCTCCCTTTATTTACACGAAATGTAAATTCGGTAATGTCTTTACAAATAATATTTTTTGGAACTTACAATATTGATAAATGTTCATTTAAGCATCATAATTATTTATGAAATTAAACCATAAAAAATTGAGTGACAGGATCTTTTAACTTAATTGGTAATGTGAGATCTTGATTTTTTGATTTTCATATTTGTGGAAATCAGTGTTAAAAGAGCAGATTTCCATGGACACAATAAATGATGAACATGGAAAATTGGTAATTATCACAATCATTTTATACCAATAATAAGAACTAGACAGTAGATGTAACAATATGATATTTAATTATTTCAATGGCTTCATTAGATGTCTTTCCCAATATTTGTACAAACTGGAGAAAACCTTTTCCCTCATATAGACGTGTTTTGACGGCTTTTTACCCCCGCCCCCTTTTGAGGCCTCAAACAGTGAATAAAAAGCCCTATTTAGGCCAAAAACATTGTTTATCGTTTAAGAAATGTTGTTTAAAAAAGTGACATTTTTTTCGGCGCCGCCCCCTATCCAAAAAGATACATCAGGGGGTTGCCAGAAAGGGGATGTGCCCCCTTCTGTTTGGGGGGGGGGGGGTTTGAAGGGGGCGGTATTCCCCCTCATCGCCAAGAAAATTTTGGACATATGACAGGCTAAAAATAACCTCAGGTCGATTTTAAGGTAACGTGTAACCAACGCTGAAAAGCCTATTACTCTATCTCAATGCATTGAGAAGTTGCAGCACTTTGAAATCAGTTTTGATGGAAAAAAAACAATGCAAAATAGTGATTTTTGGCAATTTTGAGACGTCCCCCGTTGCCATGGTAACTGGAAATTTAAGAGCATGTTGATACAGAGGCTATTGTCCAGTCAACATTTGTGCCAAGTGTCGTTAGTATTGAAGCATTTTTCAAGGTTTCATAGCAGTTTGAACTTGTAACAGTAGGCTTTTCCATGAAAACGGCCATTTTTCACAATATGCTCATGAGGTAAAAGGTTAATCGAGTCATTCGACATATAGGTACATCAAAACCAAGGCCTCAGTTATATAAAATCCGTGTCTGAAGTTGTAAATCAAAACCAAGGCTATACATATATTTTATATATATATAATTATAGCCCTGGTTTTTGATAAAATATTATATATATATTTTTTATATATATACAATGTAATTATATCCCTGGATTTTGATAAAATATTATATCCTTGATTTTTTATATATAATTTTATTCCTGGATTTTGATATATGACTATATCTTTGGTTTTTTGGTACATAATTAAATTATAGTCTTGGTTTTTATAAAATCTAAAAAAAATTCATTATCAGTAAAGATTGAAGTATCGGCTACAACATATATGAGCCGCGTCACGACAAAACCAACATAGTGCGTTTGCGACCAGCATGGATCCAGACCAGCCTGCAGATCCATGCTGTTCGCTGTCAGTTTCTCCACTTGTAATAGAGTTGGTAAGCGAACATCATGGATCCTGATCAGTGTGGTGCGGGGTTTATTCGGGATGGGGTAGGTAGGAGGTAGGTTTCCGTCTGCCATGATATTCTTTAACAAATAATTAAGTCTGTGCCGTAATTTTGTCTGTTTTATAATAATATTCCGTTAACTTGTAATTATTACTGGTTCTCTATTCATCTTTGGTATTTATTTAAAATCCTTTTGGCATAATAAACACAACTCAGTAAGTCCGTTTTTTCTGTTTTTAATATAGTTTCCTTTTTTCATATTTACACCAACAGTTCTGACCGGTCAAAATAACAAATAATTAAATATGTACATGTACATTAAAATGCACCGCAGAAAACTGCGGCACCAACACTTTAAACTTAAACCATTACATGTTTACTGTATATCTGTCTCAGACAGTTCTGTCTCTTTTATTATTACAAATATAATTGTTACAAAGGTTTCAATAATTAACCAATGAAAAATGACCCTTAGACGGGAAAATATTAACCAATGAAAATACATTTTATCAAATATGAAATTATAGATTTGACCAATAAAAATGGTTCGATTAAGACTGATTAACACGCCATATGTCAAAAGTCAGCGGCCTGTTAATTCCTTTCTTTTTAAACAGATAATAAGATAAGAAAACTTCAAATAAATGTCGCAGATAAAATTAATGATAATAATCACGTTGTCATACATGTGACGTAAATAAACATAAATGTGTCAGACACGTAAATTGCAATAAACATGTCAGGGACCTGGCTAATTGATAATTTACATATTTCTGAAATTCAATTATTTAAAAACTTTTCATAATATAAACAAGAAAATATAATAATTTTACGAAAAGTATTTTGAAAGAATCAAATGAAAAAAATGCAGCATAACATCACCTCCTCCTCTATTTTACTTTATTCCATAAAGTGAGAGGTTCTTTGTACATGTATATATTAAAATAATAAAAGTCATTACAACAACTACAATGTATTATGCGCTTATGTAGAGTGCTAATAGACTGGAGTTAATCTCAACACATTGTTCCGTCGTTTTATTAATCAAAGTTACTTTCGTTGTGGAATACCACAAACAATATGTTTAATGTGAACAGGTTATCCTGGGTTAAATTTAGTGGAAAGCCACAATGTTATCTCTTGGAAATCCAAAATCTAACTTTTAATTCAACACAGCATTTGTTAAATTCATTTTGCAATTTTCTTTTTATGAACTCACAAAAATTCTATTTATTAATCAACTTTAACATAGCTATACCTTAGCATGTAATAAGACATAATATAAGCTTTTTGAAATTTTAAAATACCAGTATTAAAACCAGACATTATAGTCTATAAGTATTAATATCAAAAAGCAAATTATATTAACAAAGTACATGCTTATTTATAGAAAGTTTACAAGTTTTATCAACATCTAATGATTAGGTCTTTAAAAATATATATTTCATCTTTTCCTGATTATACAATAATTCAACATCAATTTGCCAACGAATGCCTTATATAGACGATACTTTAAAATATTATCAATTTTCTTATTCAAAATTAAATATAGCATCACCAATCATCAAACATAATGCAATTATCAACACATGAAACTCTATACCAGATACCGAAGTGGCACATAAAATCATGATGAAGAAAATCATTCCGACCAATGACACTAAAACACAAGCAAACCACTACTTAGACACCAACGAAACCAAATACATGTATTGCGCGCCACATACACCTATTCAGTAACTATAGATAAGACTTAAAATAATTCACACACACTCAATTCACTAACAGAAATTTACTTACAAAAATCTTATATATAGTGATGATGTCTAAAATAAGCAGATGCAAAGTTAAAGCCATAAACTCAGAAATGACACTACAATCATATCTTTCAAAAGAAAATAAATCATATGTCCACATTATCAATAAAATAAAGCCCAATTTTAGGTAAACATACCTTTAAGACAATACTGACATTAAGTATCTGAGAATTAAAAACATGTGAATTGATAAAACAAAATGTTCTGTAATTTATATGTTTTCCTTTGACCGCTTCATCTCTCCATACATTTCGTCTGATAATATCCGGTTTAGTCTTCAACTTTAACTTATCTATTTCCGCATTCGTTTATTGAATTTTCAGTTCCTATATTTCGTCTTGTTTTTTTTCTATCTCCTATAACTTTTCATAATTTCTTTATTCCAAACTTTTCGTCTAATTCTCTTGTGTACGTGTTTTCTCTTTTTTTTTTCATTAAAATTTCTGCAAATGTCCCTGGTTGTTAAATGTCCTTAGAATGTCGATTTTTTTTGTCTATCACTTAGTTTTCATTTTGTTTCGTGGGGAATAATTCAAATATACAGCATAACATCTTCACTCGCTTGGCTGCTGATTCGAGGTACCGAGATACTCGCCTCTCTTCTTCACCATGTGTGGTGCGGGGTTTTTGGTGGAACTGGTGGCGGGTGGTAGGGTAGGTTTCCACGTCCATAATAATTCTTTAACAAATAATTAAATATGTACATGTACATTAAAATGCACCGCAGAAAACTGCGGCACCAACACTTTAAACTTAAACCATTACATGTTTACTGTATATCTGTCTCAGACAGTTCTGTCTCTTTTATTATTACAAATATAATTGTTACAAAGGTTTCAATAATTAACCAATGAAAAATGACCCTTAGACGGGAAAATATTAACCAATGAAAATACATTTTATCAAATATGAAATTATAGATTTGACCAATAAAAATGGTTCGATTAAGACTGATTGACACGCCATATGTCAAAAGTCAGCGGCCTGTTAATTCCTTTCTTTACTTTAAACAGATAATAAGATAAGAAAACTTCAAATAAATGTCGCAGATAAAATTAATGATAATAATCACGTTGTCATACATGTGACGTAAATAAACATAAATGTGTCAGACACGTAAATTGCTATAAACATGTCAGGGACCTGGCTAATTGATAATTTACATATTTCTGAATTTCAATAATTTAAAAACTTTTCATAATATAAACAAGAAAATACAATAATTTTACGAAAAGTATTTTGAAAGAATCAAATGAAAAAAATGCAGCATAACATCAGACTGCGCGGAGGCGCAGGCTGGTCTGGATCCATGCTGGTTGCAAACGCATTACGTTGGTTTTGTCATGACGCGGCTCACATTTGTATATCGATGATATTCTATGCCAATTTAACGTTACTTTTCTTGTTGTTTTAATACTATTTTAGTGCTAATATATACATGTACATGTTTATATACACAGAAACAACAGATTTTCGCAATAATGATTTGCAAAAGTGTTGGACACTAGTTCTTTTAATATCGATTAGCGATCGGCCAATCCCGAAGAAAAATTAAAAACAATCTATATGTTTTATTTATCAAAAATGATGGCATTTAATAGAGAAACTGTAACATGTACTTGTCTTAGAAATGCGTATTCTGATATTACAATTATCCGTCCGCTCAAAAAAAAACAAAAAAAAAACAAAAAAAAAACAAACAAAGAAATATAACGTTTTTACGATTGTCGATCTCAGTGCTTTGATTGTTATAGTAATTAAATTATTACACTCCTGTTCCGCAGTTTATCCTTTGATTTCTTTGATTTTAACTTAGATTAACTCATACATGAATTGGCTAAAAACTTGTTTTGAATGTACAGTATAGAGAGCAAATAAAAATTCAAATTTCTATTAATATAAAAATCATAACAGGTCAAGATCGACCAATTAATATCTAAAAACATAACTCTCGACAGAAAAGAGAAAAAAAGAAGAAAGAAAAAAAAAATTATTTGCGAAGTGAATTTGAAGTGCTTTGATATATAATTGGTATATTTCACATAAAAAGTACCGAAATTTATAAATACTATATTCACTTACCGCTGTTTACAGAAGTACTAAATTTTGTTTGACCTTCTTAAATCGTTTTACATGTATACACATGTATTATAATACTGCACGTTTGCATCGGATAATCGTTTATATTATTAGTTATAAAGATTTTTGACAGGTTATATGGCCCTATATAAACGGTTGTTTGTAAAAATAACCCGAACCACCAATATGTATAGTACTGCAAACTTCCTTTTTTAGAGAAAAAAGTGAGATTTCTTTATATTTTGACAGCAGCTATTAACTACAAACGTCATGATTATCCAAAGAAAAGTTACGTTACAAAAGTGCAGTGTATAAACAAATGCTTGCTATATAAACGTCGCATAGCAGTTCGGGTTATATAAACTTACAACCATTTTATCTGCACATATAACGTGCCATCTTTCAAACAAATAACATGTATAAGTATGTTGTTTCATCTACATCGCAAACTTGTTAAAATGTTTTTTTTATATATATTTATGTATATAATTATTGATATAAATTGTGACCGTTTATATGACCAAGTAAAAACAACTGTAATTTTATGTAACACCGTAGGCCATAAGCGTGAGATATATTAGATATAACCTCCCATGTATGTTCATATTACCTGTTAAATATTTATAACAAACCTACAATAATGCACAGTATCTTTCATTTATTTTAATTTTTAAACAGAAAATCATGAATTCGCTGCCGTCTTGTATATGAGAATATAAATCACCTCTCTCATTTTTTTTCCAGAAGTATAACAGTAAGTCTCCTTGAAGTCGCCCTCACCCCTCTAATTAGTCAGGTCGCCCATACTACAAAAGTAAACACTAAACACCGAAGTAATCCGAAACTGTAATGTATACCCAGATCGTGACCACACAATTAAGGTCTTGCGTTATCTCCTTTAAAATGGTATCGTCCGTGATATTTGTATGTGTATATAATAAGTTTGGTAAACTCTGTTGATGATTTATTTTTAAATTGTTTAATGAGAACAAATTTGTTCTTGGTTTTAATAACTGTGAAATGTTTTGACTTGAATTAGAGTTTTCCTATCCAGTCATTTTATACTATCAGAAAAACAATGGTATATAGAAAAGCTAAACCGGCGAATATTAAATTATGGTTGATCTTTATTTGTTTAACAGGCATAACACGTATTCTGAAAAGAAAGACCACAACGATAATTCTTGCATTCGCATGTATATGCATTTGTCTTTTAACTGGATTACTAATACATAATGGTTTTTCCGAACCTAAAGGTAAGACATGATATATTAATTGATGAAAAAAATCTTGATTCGCCATAATGGCATGGTTTTTTTTTTTTTTTTTTTTTTTTTTTTGGATTTTTTTTTTTAACTTAATTTCATTTCTTTAACGCAACAACATTTTCGGTAAAACGGAGTTTTTCACCAATAGGCACCTTACTTAATGTTTAAGGCATTTTAGGCATCTTCATCGATTCAGAACCCCTCGGTTACAGTTTGAAAGAAGGTCTATCTATTTTTGGTGTATTTTTGAAATAACTATAAATAAGTTTTATTAATAAATGTATTTATTACATTCTTATTAATGAAATATTGAGAAATATTGCAGAAAAAAATGCGTATTTTTATTTTCCATATTTTCACGGCAAAAAATATTTTTCACTACAATAAACATATTTTCCGTATATTCACTGGTGTCTTGCCAGATTTGTTCAGTCAATACACACAATTTTAGGGGAAGTATTTCAAATTGTAATGTCAAAAAAAGTGGGAAATGTAAAAAATAAACAGAAAATTCAAGTTTTTTCTATAAATACAAGATTTGCGTACATCTTGTGGTATGAAAATTACCATATTTCACTCGTGGCTACTGTCACTAATGTAATATTTATTTTCATGTCTTTCGATTAAAATAAATCACGTACATTTTCTATTTATACATTAAAATATCATAAACGAATTTGACAGTCAGTGTATTCAAAATCTTTTCAGCATTTTCCATGTACTGAATTAACGCTGATTAACTTTTTAAATTTTAAATATTTCTTGTTTAATCAATTTTTTTATGAAATACCTTTAATTACTTTTTCAATCACTGTCAAATGAATACCATATTTATATTTTGCGATTGGATCAAGCAATTATAGGTTATCATACATATTACTGTACAATACGGGACTATATTTGAACGAGTACACAGCTTGAAAAACGAGAGAAATAATGTCTCAGGGGCACCTAATGTTTTCCTCCAACAGTAAAGCTGGAAAGCCGTTCCAATGAAGCTCCGTAATCTAGCTGAATAGCTCAATCATATGAAAGAGTCCAAAGTTCCTGTCGGGATTCGAACCAACAGCGGTGAAGGGCAAGTAGTTTGAAGTCAACGACCTTAACCACTCAGCTACGGACACGCCACTTGAGGTACTTATGGGGAGGCTATGTTCATGTTTTTAGACGATAGCAAATTAATATCCTTGACCCTTTATAAAAAATATATCAATTCCAAATTCAAATGTTTTTTTCCCCCGGAAAATCATTGCAAAACATATATAATGCACTAAAAATATAAAATATCGTTCTAAGTCTTAAAAGTGACACTATGCCAACCCAAGAGTGCTCCGATAAAATCAAAAGTTAAATTTTGTTTGTACTTTATAATTAACGTCACCTGTCTTCTATAACCCCAGTCTAGTGTCCTACTTAAATATCTGTTGGAAAAAAATCACCTGATTTATCGGTAATTTTCATTTGTAAAGAAGTGGGGGACAACCTTTTCATATTTTAAGAAGTTTTTATAGTTTTATCCACAGGGACTTGTAATTCTATCAAATGACCACTATTAATGATAATATCTAAAAAATACCCCCTATATAGCATAATTTTCTTATACTATATAGGGGGTATATTTTTGAATATTACGTTAATATTGATAGACTTTCAAGTTCCTGTGGTTTATCTTTGTGTTCAATCCACAGGTGTCCGGCGCGTTGATTGGTCACTTCGCCAAAAATTATGGCAATTATTAAATATACATGTATAAATAAATTAGAGATGTTACAAGAACATTATTGAATCATTATATAAATCCTAGAAATAAAACACATTTCAGTTACCTGTATATATACATGGACACAATCTCCTACGTAGTGATCTCCCCTTACAGGATTAGATCTCTGCCATCACAACATTTTCGTCTATGAATTTTTTCATTTTTTATATTTATTTTACAAAGTAAACACGGTTTTGCTAATGTTTCAAGACCGTTAGGTGTTAGATGTGAACTTAAATAAAAAATAATTTTGGAAACATAAATATTATGAAAATAATTTTTAAAAAATTTAATACCGCACCGTTTATTTCCATAACAATGGCCCCTCTCGAAAGAGAAATCATTCAAGTAATTATTTATTTCGACTCTACGCTTAACAAAAATGATTTTTTTTCAATCATATTTATACACAATCATGTGATAAGACCTTCGCCCAGGGAAGGGCCCACGATAATGTTGTGAAAACTTTTGGCCCAACCCTTTTGTATATTGTGTAATTTTGTTAATGTAAATGAATTGATGTATATTAATATATGCAATAAAATATTATTAAACAAGACCATTATCACGTGATTTGTGTGAAGGCAGTGGTTACTGGCCGTAGCGTGACCGGTGCGCGGAGTTTGAAATGGACATTATTACTAATGATAAAAGGCGAGGTATTCCAATAACGGACAATCGCAACTTTTCGGATTAATAATAATCATCGAGTGTTCCGAGCGGAAACGGAAGCGGTGCATGAAATACTGGATGACACCTTTAAAACGGAAAAAATAAACGATATTTTAATCGACTTCCCCGTTCATAGGCTTTGCCTAATCTTATATTAGTTAGACATACATTTGATTTCAAATTGTATCTTATAAACATCGTCGGATACCCACGATTGATAAACATGTCACATAACATGCAATCAAATGTTAATAAATGTTAATGGTTCGGCCTTGGGTATCCGACGATGCTTATAAAAGGCAGATATCCTAGCTTAAATTAAGATATAATTCTGGTAATAAATTTTTGCTTCCTAAATTGTTCATCTTAAAATAACAAAAATAAAGCGTGGGTTATGGGGTTGGGGGGAGGGGCGAAACAAAAATGATGGATTGGATGGTTTAGGCTACGAATCAATGACCTGGCCAAAAAAAAATTGATTGAAAAATTTCCCGTACAAATTTCAAGTATTACCAAGGAGACAATAAACTCTGTTATCTGTCAGGGATAATGAGACAAAGCAGTTTAACACGACACGGCTAGCATATTCAACGGCATCATCCGTCGTTATTTTGTTTTCTTTCTTTTTCTTTTGGTATCCGATCTTTTGAAAATTATTCAGGGATACGTATTAAATTTTGATGTATCATTTTCAAGATTTTTCTTGTCACATATATTGTAATACTCTATCTGTCATTTTTTATGTTGATCAACTCTTTCGTTTAAATTGTCGTTAATTTCACATATTTGAAGTACATGTATATATTTGAAGTTTAACTTAAGATTTTAAACTCGCCTGAGCACGTTAATTGTGCTTATTTAAATTCTATTGAACAAAGACGTACTATTCGTCAACTGTCCACAGCCGTGTTTCAGGTCAAATTAACGCTCCCTAAAATCATTTCATTATTTCTATGTCAATCGCAACTTGATAAGGACTTTTTAGATAATAGCCAAGGACGTTCCGATTGTTTCTTTATTTTTATTCAAAGAGCATTCTTACTGTTTGATATATTATTTAGGCATTGTTGTCAATCTTTATTTTGCGTTATACTTCGCCCTGTCACTTTATTTCACCAGTCCCTTACAATGTCAAGTCTTTGTTTGTACGGTTATATATATATTCATATTTCATAATTGTTGAATTAATGAATTACAAGTAAAGCAAATATACATATACAGAGTAAATAAAATAGTTTTTATATCGACGATTTTGTTATTCAACCACATGCATGCATGAAGTAAAAACAAAATGAGAGTGAAAAGCGCGAATCACGACAGTACGATATTACGAAGTGCGTCAGTACGATGGTGACTGTACGATAGGACGACGGCGAAGTGCGACAGTACGATGGTGACTGTACGATAGGATGACGGCGAAGTGCGACAGTACAATGGTGACTGTACGATAGGACGTTGACGAAGTGCGACAATACGACGGAGACTGTACGACAGGACGATGGCGAAGTGCGACAATACGATGAAGACTATACGACAGTACAATGGCGAAGTGCGACAATACGATGGCGAAGCACGACAGTACGATGGTGACTGTACGACAGGACGACGGCGAAGTGCAACAGTATGATGGTGACTGTACGACAGAACGTTGACGAAGTGCGACAATACGATGGAGACTGTACGACTAGACGACGGCGAAGCACGACAGTACGATGGTGACTGTTCGATAGGTCGACGGCGAAGTGCGACAGTACCATGGTGACTGTACGACAGGACGTTGACGAAGTGCGACAGTAAAATGGTGACTGTACGACAGGACGTTGGCGAAGCACGACAGTACGATGGTGACTGTACGACAGTACGTTGGCGAAGTGCGACTGTACGATGGTGACTGTACGACAGTACGTTGGCAAAGTGCGACAGTGCGATGGTGACTGTACGACAGTACGTTGGCAAAGTGCGACAGTACGATGGTGACTGTACGACAGTACGTTGGCAAAGTGCGACAGTACGATGGTGACACTACCACTGGACGATTCTCCATTGCAATGTTATATTGTCACCATCGAACTGGCGCGCTTTGCCATCGTACTGTTGTGCTTCGCTCTTTTCGTTTCTCAGAGAAAACGCGCTGGCCCTAACGGAACACTATAGATTTGCAGCCATCGCCGTTGTTGTTCGCTTAGTTTGTCAAACAGTTTAGCAACTTAAGCTTTCTACATGTATAGTTACCAATCAATCAGTTTAAGTGCAAGTTTTATTTAAAAGTAATTATAATGTCTTCAAATATTTGTGAAAGTATTAATACGCACATGTATATATTGGCATGTAGATAATTTCACATCTTAAGGTTGGTCGTAGCGTAAAATTACTAGTTTAAAGGCCCATTATGCCTTAGAAACGGTACTTTTTATTTCTCAAACACTTTTTATTTATGGTATATGATTACAGTTTCCAAAAAAGCATACTCATTTGCCAAATACATCAACAATCTTTGCCCCTTTTACTTTGTTGGCAATTGGTATAATTATTGTGAATAAGTATTTTGTATGGAAGTCAAAACACTAATTTGTTTAAATTTTGCTATCTTAACGACACATTGCTGCGTATTCAGTGCTCCTTTTGTCAGCTGTTAAACATCTAACATGCTCTAAATCAATTTTTAAAACATTATTAAACACACGTTTGACGTTTCTAACGAAATTATTGAATAAGGATTTCTGATGCATATTGCAGGACTTACATGTATAATGATTCACAAATGAAAAATGGATCTCGTTATATATGCAAAAATCTTTTAAATACGGTCTAGAGCCTGTCGAAAAATCTTTATTAACTACAAAAACATCAACGTATTTTTGAAACTAAATAGTAATTGTTATTACAGTTTATTTACAGTGTTTAACTGTATATATATTTAATATTGCAGTTTTACTGCCCGACTGGGTCAAGCCAGAAGAGTATCCACCATACGAGCCAGAATTGCACGAGGTCTTTCCGACCGGCTCGGAGTTTGAGCCCCGAATTCCACATATATTGCACCAAGCATACAAAAGTCATTACGTGCCGTTAGAATATGCTTCAAATATAAAAAGCTTCTTGAACTATAATTATGATTGGGAATATTATTTCTGGACGGAAGAATCTGCTAGACAGCTTATTAGCAGACGACACCGGCCTTTACTGGGGACCTACGACGCGTATTCCCGGCATGCAGCCAAAAGTGAAATCCTTCGTTACGTTGTACTGTATGAATTCGGTGGTGTATTTGCAGACATTGGTATAAAATGTTTAAGGCCGTTGAAGAGACTAACTTCCAAATACGCTTGTATATTGACAACTGTACCTTTTGAAATACACGCTATTGAGTTTAAAATGCCTTATGCATTGTACCACGATCTGATATTTTGTAGAGCAAAACATCCGTTTTTAAAACAGATAATCGATAATCTGCCGTTATATCAACCTATGCTAAACAAACCTTCCGCCACCGGCCCTCTCTTCTTATCGGCCCAATTCATGATATACAACCAACAAAAATATTACCACACTCCATTACATAGAGAAAATAAAACAGAAGGTAATTCGCCTTTCTTCTACTGCAGCAGACTTCCAGAAATGCACGACGACGCCGTATATGTGCCGAATTCGAAATATTTCTCGTTCTACCTGCGTTGGTTGTACAAGTTATGTCGTGATTTTGAGAGACTCTCTTTTACACAAAGGAGAGGTTGCCTTGAGCTCAGTCGTAGAACAAACAAGGTCAATAATCTAACTTACACTTATAGTCACTGGTACAAGCCAGTCTATACACCAGTTACTAACTTTCTATTTAGAATTTCCATAACAATTTTAGTTGGAGACAGAATAGATAGATAAACACAGTGATGTTGTTCTCCCAACGTAACTACTGAATTGACAGCGGCATACTTGATTACATTTCTAAGGATTACGGACGAGCGGTATATTTGATTACATTTCCTAGGATTACGGACGAGCGTATATTTGTTTACATTTCCGAGGATTATGGACGAGCGGTGTGTCTGATTACATTTTCCAGGGATTACGGGCGAGCAGCAAATGGTATTTGATTACATTTCCAAGGATTACGGACAAGCGGCATATTTGATTATATTCCATTGGATTACGGACGAGCGGTATTTGAATTACATTTCCAAAAATTATGGACAATCGGCATATTTGATTACATTTCCAAGGATTATGGACAAGCGGCATATGTGATTATATTTTCAAGGATTACAGACGAGTGGTATATTTGATTATATTTCAAAGAATTACGGACTAGCGGCATATTTGATTACATTTCCATGGTTTACTGAAGGAATTCCAAATTAGCATGGATGCGTGCTGGTAAAGTCGTATTCAATTTATAAGTCGACCCTGCTTACCTTTTACATTTTGAACGCACACTCCAGTGCTTGATAAAGAATAAACTAGCGTCGGCCTACTGGAAGAGGGTCGATGCACTTTATTGGTCGTCTAAAAGAGGGTCGGTGTACTTTTCATTCTGTGGAGTTATGTAAATCTGTATCAAGTAAAGTTGATAACTTCGATATAAAAAAATTCATATTTGTGTCCAATATGGAAGATATTTTGTTATAAGGACATGTAAATACAGTCAAACTTGTGTTAAATACCACTTCCGAATAAAGATCACCCTGTTAGTACAGGCCACTCTTAGACAATATTTTATTCAATAATTTGAACAAATCATTCCCCAAATGATGACCACTTGTCTATCAAGGCCGTGTTTGGTATATCCCTCGGATGGTCGTTGTTTGCAGGGTTGACTGTATTATAATTATCTAATTGTCTAACAATTATCTATAATTTCCTTAAGTTTACTTTATTAACATTATTTTAGAACTTATTAATTTACAAGTTAACAAAGTTTGATACATGTACAATATGCTCTACATTGTTAAGTTAATTAACATGACATATGAGCCGCGTCACGACAAAACCAACATAATGCGTTTGCGACCAGCATGGATCCAGACCAGCCTGCGCATCCGCGGATCCTTGCTGTTCGCAAACGTATTATGTTGGTTTTGTCGTGACACGGCTCATATATACTTATTTTAGTTTGATTGTGTTGGAAACTATAAGCTTATTGAAATACTATTGAATCCGTTTCTGGAATCAACCAGTACTAAGCAATGAATGTAAAAATTTCTTGCTCAAGAAAACAAAGGCTTGTCCCTGACATGGTTTGAACCCACGGGATCATCAAATCTCACGTATTTGATTTTCTACTTGAAATTGTGTAAAATATACATTGCCCTAAAAAAATTGTGACTCATGAAAAGACTAAGCCTGCAATTTGTTGTTTTTCAGTGATTCAGAGATTTTCAGATTGTCATATTAAAAAGTTGTCCTTGCAGTCTCATAATGTACTAAACATATCTCGAGTATTTTTTCAAAGGGGGTTCTTAAAGGGAACTCGACTGAGGTCCAAAAAGCCTAAACACATACCATTTGATTTTCTTGCATATATCACCTTGGGGCACTTAAATCAGAGAGATATTTAAGAAATATACTCAAAATAATTTGAAAATCGTATTTGTATGCTATTTTAGCCAGATTTGATTAAAAAAAGGGGGTTTTCAATTTTGGATTTTTTTACAATTAGAATAATATTTCCGAGAAAACAGGCTGAGAGTTAACAAATGGTCTGAAAATTTGCACTCACGTTATTAACAAATTTAAACTGAACATTAATGATCAACATTATTTTTTGTCCAATCACATTGTAGTATTTTTCAAATTTCTGCTTAGTCTAACTTTGGTTAATGATCAACATTATTTTTTGTCCAATCACATTGTAGTATTTTTCAAATTTCTGCTAAGTCTAACTTTGGTTAATGTGTACTAACTAAATAAAATTCACTACATCTGTCGTCTAACCGCAGTCTAACAAAATTTCAATAATGCATTATATGAGGGAGGAGTTAGAGGCATGGTTTACACTCTGAATTGTAAAATATAAAGGTTAGCAAAACAATGCCAACATAAAAAAAATTAGTCGAGGTCAAAATGTGAGGATACAATCAATTGATTTATTACATAGATAATACATGTTGGGCACGCAGAGACAAATGATTACATAGTAACTTTTTTATATCTGTTTAACTCTAAGGAAAATGTCTGTTATAAATTTAAACTTTATATTTTCCAAATCATTATTTTTTTCACTTGATAGGAATGAACTGCATTAACAATCATTGTTATTAAGAATACAATGATTACATTTTTTGGCTGGAATGGACCCTCTCCACCTGTAAACCTAAATTGATACACAGAAAAAAAAAATGAACTGTTTTTCAAATGAGCAAATCAATAGGGATTTTAAATGTTAGTAAATAACTTGAACCTAATAACGAATTTGTATCAATTAATAATCTCTTATGTATTTTTCTCACATTTTCCATTTATTTTAAAAGGATATACACATTTCATTAACTCCATTGTTTTTACCTAATTGCATCGTTTTCCTCACTGTTTTTTTCTCAGATATTTTATAGAAACATGATAGTCTTACTGTAGATAAAGGTATAAATTCTGTGACATTTCAATAAAAATTTGCCTGAAATGTTGAAAGGGCCATTCATTTAGCTTATCTAACTGTGACATGTTAGAAACTTGACAAGGTGTAGAGCGAAAGGGCGGAGCTATCAGTGATTCAGAGAAATGCCTTGTTTTTGGTTGAAAAAAAATAATGTTGATCATTAAATAGGTTAATGTTTAATAATACGCATTAACAAAAATAATTGGTCGCCTGCCTGTGGCAAAACAATGCCAACGTAAAAATAATTAGTCTTTCTAAATGTGAGGATACAATCAAATAATTTATTACATAGATAATACATGTGGGGCACGCAGAGACATATGATTGCATAGTAACTTATTTATATGCTTTTAACTCTAAGAAAAATGTCTGATATAAATTGCTGACTGTTATAACTTTATATTTTCTAGAAAAAGTAACCAAAATATTATTTTCTTTGACTTGATAGGAATGAACTGCATTAACAATCCAATGATATTAAGAATACAATGATTACATTTTTGGCTGGAAAACTCATTGTAAACTGACCCCCTCCACCTGTAAACTGTATACATTAAATAATTAATAATCTCTAATGTATTTTTGTCACATTTTCCATTTATTTTAAAAGGATGTACACAATTCATTTATTCATTGTTTTTACCTACATGTAATTACTGTAGATAAAGGTATACATTCTGTGACATTTCAGTAAAAATGTGCCTGATTATATGTTGAAAGGGTTATCTAAATGTGAAATGTTAGAAACTTGACAAGGTGTAGACATCTTGCAGAGCGAAAGGGCGGAGCTATCAGTGATTTATAGAAATACCTTGTTTTTGTGAAAAAAATAATGTTGATCATTAAATAGGTTAATGTTTAATAATATGCATTAACAAAAATAATTGGTCGCCTGCCTGCGGCAGGCTTGACCAATTATTTTTGTTAATACATATTATTAAACACTAACCTATACTTAATATCGAAAATTTATTTCAGTCCCGCCATGTCAAAGGGAATAATTATTGTGCTTTATCATTTTATATTGTTATTAATCTGGGATACGAAATTCTTTTTTGTGTGAGAAGTTTAAATATGTTAGGTTATTTTTGTCGGCCATGAACTTTTTTTAAATTCAAATACGTTTAAATCAATGAAATATTATCTTGTTGTCAAAATGGATGTTTTCTTTTCATACATAAATTATGATTAATTTCAATAAATTAAGGTCGCATTGAAATGGATAACACGTTCGGGACGCACATTAATATGGTTTTAAATCTAAAGAAAGAAAGAGAAAAAAAGAAGTTCATATATAATTTGAGTTTTATTTATAATAGCTAGTCTTTTATAAAAAAAATAAAAGAAAAGACGGTACAATATATCACGTTATAAACGCACGTATTAGCCATTAAATTATTGGATTGTTATGTTATGAAAGAAAAAAAATATTCATTCACTTTAAAATAAAGATCTTATAATGTGATAGTAATCGCGCCTTGTTTTCATATCACCATATCTATAATATATATAGAGACGACTGCGAATGATACGAGTTTTAAAGGCCCATTATGCCTCAGAAATGCCATCAATTTTATTTCTCAAATTTTGTTTTTTTATGTTTAATATCTGATAGACAGGTTTGATTTTGGGAAAATGTTCATCCTAACGGCATTTTAAGTACAAGCAGGTAGTTGTGTTTACTTACCTATTTCGAGTACGCTGAATTCATTTTTTGCTCTACCACGGCTTTATTTTTAGTTCTTGATTTTTTAAAAATCAATTCAAAAGAATGAATCATTGGTTATTGGGGGGCAAAAATCTGCTTTTTAAGTTTGAAAAAAATAATGAAGATCACAAACATCCGCGCACGTCAACTCAGTAAGAACATGTCTGTCTGTTTGTTTTCAGTCCCGTACATCACTGTAATACTTGGATGGATTTTTAAATAAATTTCACGAATGTGTGGCACATACTAGTATGGGATAATGTCACAAGATAGTCCAAGGTTTAAAGCTCAACGCTTCAAGTTAGACTCGAATGTGCTTGAAAAATCTCAGCCCAGTTTAGGGTTCTGTCATTCATAGTTGAATTTTAAAATAATTTAGCATAAATAGGCGGCTGAAAACAATATATGAAAGGAAGTACTTTATATTATTACATGTACTTATCCTTCAAACAGGGAAAATGTTCTGATTTCAAAGAGAAATGATATTTTTATGTCAATTGCGCAAGAAACATGTACTAAGACACGTTGTACCTAAGTGCCAGTTCAACAGCCCAAAGACCAGAAAGACAATTTTGTTAAAGTTCTTTAGTGGGGAATCCGATTAACAATTTGTAATTCACGAATTGTTTTAAAAAAAGCATTAGCATTTCTAAAAATTCTAGAAATCGCCATTTAGGTGGGCATTTCATAAAATAGGCTTCTTCTTGAACATTAGATCTAATATTTCTTCTTTAAAGTGTTTATCACATAAAAGCCTACATTCTGGTTTAGATGAAGATAGTATTCTAGTTCTATATATAGGTAACCGACAAAAGAGGAAATTTGTCGTCCATTTTGTTATCATATGGTATTAAATTTTCTGTTTTATTTGCCCCTAGGGCAGGTGGTGTATGTGTTCAAATGCTCAAATTTTGTAAATTGTATATGTCGCCTTCCTCACCGTGCATATCCAGTAACGCAGGAATGTGCAAATAATGTAAAAGTAACGCCGATTCTGTGCAATGCTATTGCCAAAACGAATAACACAGTAAGTAAACGAACCAAAATATTTTATTCTAAATAAAATTTTAAGAAATGGATTAGCGCATACGGCTGCTACGACATTATTCTTTAACCAGCATTACAATATTTTTCAGTTTTATTTTTTACTTCTTTAGATTATTCGTGAGAAAGACAACCTGGTAACCGTTTTGAATGTGACTTTTGTGTTTCGTCAAATAAATATGTACATTTAACGCATTTAAAACATTGTGTTTTTTTTCATATTCCGTATACCTAAGACATTTGACAAACTACAAGTGACGTACAACAATGGAAGGAAGCTGGTAAAATAAGATTTAGCTACTTTTAATGAGATAATTAACCGCCGTTGTTTCAGTGCTTCATTCACTAATTCGGCGTTACCTCGTAAAAATGTTCTCAATTACGTTTTATCTGCTAAATTAAGTGTAATATGACACGGGTAGATTTGAAAACGTTTCAGGTACATTTGTACACCGAATATAAAAATTCATAAAGTAATATGTACATTATTGTATTTAAAGATATCAACGAAACTAAAGATTGCCACCAATACGCTAGTCAGGTCGTCATTTTCACGAATGATTTTGAAAAATAAACATTTTCATGGATATATTTTTGATGAGGTTTACAGTATAATGTCTCAGCAACC